TCTGTCTTAAATATAAAATTTGACCTCCGTTCCTGGACCCAAGCATCACTCCCCGTTAGGTTCGGTGGTTTGGGTGTACGCAACACTTCGGACGTCTCCCTCCCGGCCTTCATTTCTTCCATACACTCTACCGAACCACTCGTTGCGAAAATACTTGGGCGTCCTTTGAGCGTGTCCTTGTTCTCGCTTCTAGATGAAGCCGTAGCAGCCTGGAGCGCAGCCTGCCCTGACACCGACGTCCCGACGGACCCTGCCTCCCAGCGACTTTGGGACGCGCCACTCTGCAGGCTGAAACGCAATGCGCTTGTAGAATCAGCTAGCAATCCCGCAGACCGTGCGCGTCTCTTAGCCGTTTGCGAGTGGGAGTCTGGACTATGGCTGCAGGTACTGCCTTCCGCGAATATCGGTATGCTCCTAGACCGCTCAACTTTTCGCATAGCCACGTCCTTGCGCCTTGGCTCGCCCTGTGTCGTCCCCCATCTTTGCCGGTGCGGAGCGTTTATCACCAACCTCGGTCATCACGGTCTCTCCTGCACAAGGAGTGCCGGCCGTATAACCCGCCACCACTGCATCAACGATGTCATCCGCAGGGCCCTCGCCCCCGCCAGCGTGCCTGCCGTTTTAGAACCAAGCGGCTTGGCGCGCGACGACGGTAAGAGGCCCGACGGCATGACACTCGTTCCTTGGAAGCTGGGACGGGCACTTGTGTGGGACGCAACCTGCGTCGACACTCTGGCCCCGTCTCATATTCCCGGAACCTCGATGCAGGCTTGCTCGGCTGCTTCGACCGCAGAGGCCCTTAAGCGCCGCAAATATGATTGCCTCAGTGGAGACCTCACATTTGCGGTGTTTGGAGTCGAGACTCAGGGACCCTGGGGATCCGATGCCCACCATCTTTTCAAAGATATCGCGAAAAGATTGGTGGAGAATACTGGAGACCGCAGAGCTGGCGGCTATTTCGCGCAGCGCATAAGCCTCGCCATTCAGCGGGGAAATGCCGCCAGCGTCCTGGGAACCTTTGCCGACGGGGAAGACTTAGGGCAGTTTTTTTTTATATTGTTTTAAACTTTCATGGTCACTAGCATTATAGATATTAACGGGATTGTTACCATGTACCTTGTTTTTTATGAGTCTCCGATATTTCGGCACTGTTGCAAGCGCCATGATCACGGAGTAACTGAAGTAATTGCGGGTAGATGTTATTGGCAGACATATCGGTCTACCCTCTGACGTCGTCTTTTACTGCGTTCGATACTACCACTACCATTGGTCACATTCTCACTATTCACTCGCATTTGTTCCCGGCACACAATACTCACAGTATCAGATCGCGGAACGACACTTTTTTGATTTTTGCGGTTTTTACACATACGAACCACTGGATTCCACACACTAGACAATTTAAACCCATCCTCACGATTGAAATTCTTGTGTTTGGTTATTTCAATCGCTTCCCTGACTAATCTCGGTATGTAGTGGCGTTCTGTCGAGATAATTTGTGGATTATGGAGCTCAATCCAGTGATTAGGACCCGAATCAATTAAATGTTCCGCGATGGCTGATTTTTGCGTATCATTATTTCTGACTGCTTTAATGTGTTCTTTCATTCGGCATGCTATTGTCCGCTTCGTTTGGCCAATATAAGAACTACCACAGCTGCAGTCGATCTTGTATACACCAGGTTTCTCCAAGGGGAAGTTATCTTTAGGAGACCGTAGAATCTGTGATACTTTTTGTAAAGGAGTGAAGACAGTATTCAGTGAGTACTTATTAAGTATGTTAGAGATCTTGTCTGTCACTCCTTTGACATATGGCAAAAATAGTGGTTGCCTGTCTACTTTGTGTTTCTGGTGTCTTAATTTGTGTTTGGGTGGAAACTTTAGTTAACTTAGTTTTTTTTTATTTTATTTTTTAATATTTGTCTTGTTTTAGTGTAGTTTTAGTTTAATATTTGCCATGTTACTTATTTATTTATTATTATTAATTATTTAGACTATTATTATAGCTATTAGCGGGATTCATATAGGAATAAGGGAATAACTTAAATTGTTAACTTCTTTAATATAATATGTTCGCCACGCCTTTCGCCTTATGTCCAATAAGTGAGTCCCTTATGTCCTTCTGGTGGCAGTAAGTTTTCCAAGTCTCCACCAGGCAGATTTAGAGTGGAAATGGGATTTGGATAGGTCGCGCCACGTAAATCTAGCGCTGAACAAAACGCGTCAGGGATAGCTGCGCATGGATACGACTGGAGAGCCAATCGGCGCAACGCACGCCACCCGCGCACCTCGTTTCCCCCCAACACATCTTAATATTTACTTCTGCGCAATAACGGTCAGCGATAGTTTCGTGCCGCGACTATAGAAACCTATTGGTACTGTGCGGCATAGCAAGCGTCTATATGTTATGGTGGCTGCAACTGTATCAGTAAGTATGTCTTGTGGTGCTAGAATATTGGCTTGGGGTGTATCCGAGAGTAAAATAGTAAATAAACAGTAAATACTATTATTAACTGTTTATTTACTGTAATATAAGTTATTTACGGGATTGTTACCATGTACCTTGTTTTTAGCGAGTTTCCGATATTTCGGCACTGTTGCAAGCGCCATGATCACGGAGTAACTGAAGTAATTGCGGGTAGGTTGTTATTGGCAGACATATCGGTCTACCCTCCGACGAAGTCTTTTATTGCGTTCCATACCCGTACCACTGTTCACATTCTCACTATTCACTCGAAACTGTTCTCGACACACAACACTTACAGTATCGGATCGCGACACGACACTTTTTTGATTATTTCCGGTTTTACACATACGAACCACAGGATTCCAGACACTCGACAATTTAAACCCGTCCTCACGATTGAAATTTTTATGTTTTGTTATTTCAATCGCTTCCCTGACCAATCTTGGTATGTAGTGGCGTTCTGTCGAGATAATCTGTGGGTTATGAAACTCAATCCAGTGGTTAGAACCAGAATCTATCAAATGTTCCGCGATTTCTGATTTCTGCGTATCGTTGTACTTGATTGCTTTTATGTGTTCCCTCATTCGGCATGATACTGTTCGCTTTGTTTGGCCAATGTACGAACTGCCACAGCTGCAATCGATCTTATAGACACCAGGTTTCTCCAAGGGGAAGTTGTCTTTAGGAGACCGTAGGTATTGTGAAACCTTTCGCACAGGAATGAAGACAGTGTTTAGTGAGTACTTATTCAGTATGTTTGAGATCTTGTCAGTCACTCCTTTGACGTATGGTAAATAAACAGGTTGTCTGTCTACTCTATGTCTCTGGTGTCTTAGTTTGTGTCTTGATGGAAAATGTCCCTGGTATCCATTACTCTGTAAGACTCGTCGTACATGCTCCAACTCTTCTTGAAGATGTTCCTCATCACATAGGTCATATGCACGGTTCGTCAGTGAAGTCATTACAGAGTTAAGATGTTTAGGGTGGTGATGCGAGGAGGCGTTGAGATAGCGGTCAGTGTGTGTTGATTTGCGGTAAATGGAATGACCAAGCGAACCGTCATTCCTCACCCGAATCTTCACGTCCAGAAAGGCCAGACTTAAACAATATATTGTTTATTTACTATTCTACTCTTGAAAATAAAATCTATACTTTATTTTCAAATTCATTATTATTCAGATTTAACAGTGTCTTCAGATATTGCAGTTTCTCTCACCAGTTTCAAGTATATCATACTGGTCTGTTGGGTGTCGCTAGAAAGTTTGCTTGTCTGAATTGTTCCGAATGCTTGGTGCACTAGTAAGCGCGTAATTATCGAATTAGAAATATGACATGGAAGCATTATCTCTAACACTGGCCGCTAAGGTCCGTATTACAGAATGACAAATAAGTGTTGATCTTTACTTGAGTACAGTTAGAAAGAGATGTCGCTATATGATGTGCTATATATAGCGACATCCCTTTCTAACTATGCTCAAGACTAGATCAATCACTGAGAATCTTTCTGTAATACGGGCCTAAGACATGGTTCAAAACTCATACAGCTAAACTTCAATACCAACGCAACACGGAAAATACTTTGACAAATCAAATGTACAAATGAATTCGACTACCCTTTCATTGGGTACGATAAAATTAATCTGAAATCCCAACCAATCCAATGATCATCGCGTTGGCGCATTTTGCTTAGAACCACATTTTAGGGAAGTTCGTACTTATTCCATTTTATTTCTAAGTCATTGGGCGCAATATAGTAAATATTTTTTTTTTCATAAATTCTAATGAATTTAAGTAGTTTTTCAAATAAAGTTAAAATTATTGAATTTAATTTAATTATAAATAAATATTTATTATTCAGATTTGACAGTGCCAGGTTTAGGTTTGCCGTGTTTCGCCAGTTTTAAGTGTATCAGTCTGTTGTGTGTTGCCAGTACATTGGCTTGGCTGAACTGCGGCGAATATTTGGTGCAATGGTAGAGACGTAATAAATTACATAATAGACTTTATTTCCAAATTCATTTATTTATTATTCAGATTTTACAGTGTCAGGTTTGCTGTTTCTCCCTAGTTTTAAGTGTATCAGTCTGTTATGTATTGCCAGTACATTGGCTTGGCTGAACTGAGCCGAACAAGTGGTGCAATGGTAGAGACCGTAATAAATTAAATAATAGACTTTATTTCCAAATTCATTTATTTATTATTCAGATTTCAGTGTCAGGTTTGCCGTTTCTCGCTAGTTTTAAGTGTATCTGTCTGTTGTGTGTTGCCAGTACATTGGCTTGGCTGAACTGCGCAGAACATTTGGTGCAATGGTAGAGACCGTAATAAATTAAATAATAGACTTTATTTCCAAATTCATTTATTTATTATTCAGATTTCAGTGTCAGGTTTGCCGTTTCTCGCTAGTTTTAAGTGTATCTGTCTGTTGTGTGCTGCCAGTACATTAGTTTGGCTGAACTGCGCTGAATACGTGGTGAAATGGTAGAGACCGTAATAAAATAAATAATACTTTATTTTTTAAATTCATTTATTGATTATTCAGATTTCACAATGCCAGGTTTAGGTTTGCCGTTTCTCGTCAGTTTCAAGTGTATCAGTCTGTTGTGTGTTGCCAGTACATTGGCTTGGCTGAACTGAGCCGAACATTTGGTGCAATGGTAGGGGCGTTCTCCGGTGTGTGTTCGTATGTGACTCTTGAGTATTTGTTGACGCTGTTGGGATAAGAAAATCATCATCACTATCAGCCTATTAATGGCCACTGCTGGGGCACGGGCCTTCGGTATGGATGAAATAGGGAGATTGGGCCGTGATGACCCACCACGCGGGCCCAGTGCGGATTGGTGGGTGCTAACGACTGCAGATGCAGCCGGGACCAACGACTTAACGTGCCTTCCGAAGCTCGGAGGAGCTCGACATAGTAAATTTTTGGTCACCCATCTTGAATGATTGCAGCAGGTCAGAAATACAAGAAAAACAGTAGAGGCGTACTTTTGCCCCCCTCCCAACTCAAGATATAGGCCAGTGACGAATGTGTTTCTATGGCTTCTGCCGTCCCTCAACAGAGCGTTGAGGGATGGCAGAAGCAGGGCTTGAAACCGGTTTTTAGTAAAGGTTTCGTTCGGAGCGCGTCCGAAATGAAAGTGGTACCTAAAACCTTAATAAACCGGTTTAATCCAGAGCGACACGTGCACGCGTCGGCATCGCTTGAAGTTTGTTTTGTTTGAACCAATAAAGTCACAACTTGTTAATGCTCAGAGATTGATGCATTTATTGACACGTTTGCTAGCGTCTAGTGAGTCAAGTTATTAATTTATTATCGATGCCGTCAGAAAGATCGAAATGAAACCCTTTAAAAACCGCTAAATTGATTCAAAACCTATTTGATTTCGCTCTTTAGGAAAACCGGTTTTTTAAGGTTAAGGTGGAGCCAAACCTAAATAAAACGCTCCTAATGTACTTGACACTGATTTAGGTTTGAAAATTAACCGGTAAACAAGCCCTGGGCAGAAGCCATAGAATAATAAATAGATTTTATACAATTAAATTTTTATTGCATTATAATGGCGGAAAACGCAACTCAACATGCAATTTAAACAAGAAAATCGTATTCTAAGAAAAACAGTACATCCATGTATGAAAAACAATAGAACAGGAGAAATTTCAGAAAATCAGATCTCCTGTAAAATCGTTAGACCTGGCAACTCTGCCTGCATCCTCCGCTATCCGTCTGTATACTTTATACCAAGAGGTAGTTATCTACATGCGTTTATAAGGATCACTCAGTTCAGCAAATTAAAAAGGTTTGATTGGTCATAACTTTTTAACTATAAGCATTTGTGGTGTGTTATTAATTTGTACAGATATTTCCAAAAGTTACCTTCAAGATGAAAAAAAATATTATGCAATTCGTAAACATAGCGCCGTATTTCTAGGATCACTCAATCTAAATGCGTTAGGATTGAGTGATCCAATGAAACTATCATAGATTCCTGGATTTACTATGATGTAACTTGATTTTTTGTAAAATAATGTGACAAATTCTGTACATTTTTTTAATATCAAAATTTCGTTCACCGCGTTAAAGTTTTCCAAGATTCAGCGTATACTATTTTGCCTAATGTCTGAATTGAGTGATCCACATTTTAGGCAATATCTTCGATCGCCTTTGAGTGACAAATTTTTGATTTCGGTCATGAGTTTTGACAATTTACACTAAACGTACGTCTTCGTTTTATTGAAAACTAAACAAGGATCACTCAATAAGGGTGATGACGGGGTACAGTAAACGTAATTCTATTTAGTCCGTCAGTTAGATGATCAAAAAATAATGGACACGTATTTTTTCTTTGGGCAATCAACCAAAAAATGACAAAGTTATAGCGCGTCAAAGTTTGGGAGTAGGGGCTCGTGACGTCACTTTTGAGTGAATTTTCCCTCATAAGTGTACTCAAACGTGACGTCATGCGACTTTTCAAATCAATATATCTCTGCAATGTTTATATTATGTGAAAAAGAAAAAATACGTGTCCAATACTTTTTGATAATGTACCTGATAAAAGAAGAAAAAGAAAATAGTCATCATCCCTATTCAGATGCATGTGCATCGGGCGGAAGTCCTGACCATTACTAATAACTACTATGAATTTTATTAAACTCACATCGAACACTTTATCGCACATAGTGCAAGGATACTTGCGGGGTCTCTGGTAGCCGTCGTGGACAATCTTCTTGTGCTCCCTCAACGACCAATTGTTCACATAAGCCTGTTATCAAAAAAAAACAATGCATATAATAAAATGGTAGGAAAGTTAAACCTGTAAATTGAATATTTTTTTTAGGAATACTTGGGGTGCGATCTACAATCGATACCGAAGCCATAAATGTAGTTTTTGGGAATTTTTGGCTGTTTGTCTGTATGTATGTCCGGGATAAACTCAAAAAGTACTGCATGGATTTACTTCAAATTTGGCACGAATATTATTAAGAAGTCGGGTCAACATATAGGCTACATATTATCACGCTATCACCTACGGGGAACGAGCAGTGAACCTTTATTTCTAACTAACTCCACGCGTACGAAGTCGCGGGCGGTCGCTAGTTGTTAATAACATACATATTATGTTATTATTATCCGTTTAAAGTACGTAAATCCTAAAAGAGGTTTTTGATTATAATTTTTATTACTAAGCATGTAACTGCTCAATGTTTAAATCTAAAGAAAATATAAGAAGAAAAAATTCCACGTTGACCAGGCAGCAAACGGGACTCGAACCCGCACCCTTCGCTATCCGGGCGAATGCACTAACCATTATGCTACCGCGGTGCTGACGGCCGTGTCGAATTCTTTCTAGTCTTTCTTAAGCTGCAAGGCAGCGGCATCTCTTCGCATTGTAGGTAACCCGTTGACAAAGTGTCAAATGAATACCTTTATAAGTATTAAACATTTAAAAGAAATATTACTAGAAAAAAATCCTATAGAGGTTTTTTAGTTAACGTGAAGAAATATTTCGAAAAAAATATTATTAAAGTTTTTTTTTTGTGGTAATATAACCTAAATCTTTCTCTGAATTAGCTCGTAAACTTTCTCAGGTAACTCAAAATTCACGGTGTATACACAGAAGTCAAGTTGAAAAATTACTTCAATATGTGATAATTCATGAAGTCACCTTCCATTGCATAATTTGGAATGTATATTCCAACATTTTTTGTTTAAAAATATAATTCAAACACGCCGCCACAATTGATGATAGGATTTATAATGCTTTGTCAGACGATTCAGGCAGATAATATGCAATGAAAGATTTTTATTTATATATATATATATATATATATATATACAATGTATACTAGCATCTCTCTAGCAAACCTACATACATTTTACATCAAAAATACAGAAAAATAAAATTATTACAAACATACTTAAAGAAAACGGTTTATATTGACAGGAACAGGAAGTTAAAATGTACTAATACCATAATTTGATCAATAACCGGGTTCATTGGTGTTCATGCAAATCGAGCACATCCCTAATTATTACTGTCGCGAACGCATCTCTAGCCTAGCGCCGGAAACGCAGACATGTTAGTTAGTTTCCGATTAGACGCGGTCTGTCTCTCTGGTTCAGCGACGACGCTTAGAGCGCACGCTGTAATTTCATTGTATCGAAGCGATATCATTTAGGTGATAAAGACGCGAAGCCGCGTATCTATACTATTGTGTTTTAGTATAATAATATAATTAAAGGTGTATAAGTTAGTGATGTCATAAACCGAACAATATATTGTGTGAAGCAAACACGTGTTTCTCTTCAACCACCGGTCACCATCCACATCCAGGCAAGGCCACAGCCAAAACGAACCCGCACAGCACGATAACCACGGCGGTACGACGGATCGAGTGAGTTACGCAAACAAAGCGAACGACCTCACCGGACTCGCAACAATTGGGTTCATTCATACCCAATACCCTAAAATTAATTAAGTTAAAGCTTAGATTAAAACGAAAAGGGAAGATAAGGTACGCTCATACTAGCATCAAATTAAATATGATCTGACAACTACATAAACAACTCACACACGCACACGTCTGATTATAAACATTCAATCGAGCGAGCGAGACAGAACTGTACGTTTCAACGCAGCGCGAGCGAAACGGCTAGTCCGCTTCCGAGTCCGTACGGCTGAGCTGTACTGTTGTCCTTTTCTTGATAACAAAATGGCGATTACGTAAATAACATTCACAACAATACGTGATTTTTTAGGAAAAGTTTTTTACAGTTTTACGAATGTAAAGCGTTGCATTTGTTATTTGATTTTGAACTATTTGTGTTCTTTATAAAATCATCGAAGGCATTGTTTTATCTTTATAACACAAAATATACGCAATATTGAATGCACATGCAGCGTGTTTGAATGTCTAATAGGGTAATAAAGTGTCAATTGTTAGCATCTGTGTTTAGAATGAATATTGGCTGGGGTTTTTACATTTTTACAAAAATAAATTATAATTTTACTAAAAACCCACGAAAAAGATAATAGTTTTCTTATCTATTGTCACGTGACCCAAAACGCTTGGGATTGGCGGAGCCTAAAATGACGTCACACGCAAGTAAACTTCCGGTTAAAGTGACATTACATTGTATCGTTTGACGTTTTAATATCAGTCGTGTGACGTCACACACTAGTAAGACAATATGGCATTGTCCAGAGAAACGTTTTTGCGGCAACTTGTAAATGGAGTTTTTGATTTGGTTATTTTTCACTGAAAACACAACAGAATGATGAATATCCAATTTTTAAGGACAATATAAACATTATTTAATAACGTGAGATCGTTTTCTAAAACTTGTCAAATGCCCTATTGTGACTAAAGCGAATTGTGGTCATGCACCACAATTTAAGCGGATCACTTTTGAGCCGCGAGTGTCATATCTTCCCTTTTTGTTTATATCTAAGCTTAAAAGCTGCAAATTTTACATACCTTATCGCATTTGTCGCATTTGTGCGGTCTTATGTTTAAATGAATTCTGTTCATGTGCCTCTCTAAGTCCCTTTTGATGGCGAAACGTTTGTCGCAATGCAGGCACGCCAACCTTCAACAAAATACTACAGTCATAAGGTTTGAAAGCTGAATTAACTATTAGACTATTTTGGTATCTCATTATCATTATCATCAGCCTATTAATGTCCCCACTGCTGGGGCACAGGCCTTTGCTATGGATGAAATAGGGAGATTGGGCCGTGACACACCACGCGGGCCCAGTGCTGTTTGGTGGGTGCTAACGACTGCAGATGCAGCCGGGAGCAACGGCTTAACGTGCCTTCTGAAGCACGGCGGAGCTCGTGATAATAAATTTTTGGTCACCCATCCAATGACCGACCACTGCGAAAGTTGATTAACTTTAACGATCGCAGCCGAACGCGCTAACCATTTGCGCCATCGAGCTCTTCGAGGTCCACGAGCATTTTGGTATCTACTATCATCAGATTTTTTTAACAAAGGTAACGTTGATAAAAAAATTAGTGCGCACAGCCACACATCTGAAGTGAAGCTGAAGTTCTTTTCTTAAATACCCTAACATAAGGCGGTGCATAAGGCATAGGGGAACAGCGCACGCATCATTCATATATATATATATATATACATGTTGTGGGGCAGATGTTTGTGTGATGAATACGAGCATTTGTACTCCAGTCATGGATGTTTAATATGTATTTCTATATAACTATATAAAAATAAGTCGGGTTTTCCTTCCTGACGCTATAACTCCAGAACGCACGAACCGATTTCCACGGTTTTGCATTCGTTGGAAAGGTCTCGGGCTCCGTGAGGTTTATAGCAAAGAAAATTCAGGAAAAATTTCAAAAAAAAAATGTTACCTAAAACGAAGCCATCTGATGGCGAAACGGAGTTCGCCTGGTTTGCTAGTTCTATATAAATATACTTATATATGTACAGTATATGTATTCTATCCGTTACCCTAGCATCCCATAACACAAGCCTTATAGAGCTTACTTTGGGGCTAGGCTAATTGGTGTGAGTGTCGGTAAAATATATATATATATATATAGGTATATACAGTGGTACCAGCGGGGTACCGTCCTACCTAGTGCTACTGGACGAGGTCGGCAAATTCTTGGAGAGAGTCATTGCCGACCGCATCGTCCAGCACCTGGAGGAGACCGGGCCAAACCTGGCGCCACGCCAGTTTGGATTCCGCAGGGGCAAGTCCACAGTGGATGCGGTGCAGGAGCTGAAGAGGATGTCGGAGGAGGCAACGGGGAGAGGGGAGAGTGTTCTCGCTATATCGCTGGATATAGCGAACGCTTTCAACACACTCCCATTCAGTTGTATCGAGAAGGCCCTGCACCACCACGAGGTCCCGCTCTACTTAAGGAAAGTGGTGGGGAATTACCTGCGAGACCGAGAACTCCTCTATTATGATGCGGGTGGGGATGTCAAAGTGAGAAGCATGGCGTGCGGAGTTCCACAGGGGTCGGTGCTAGGACCACTCCTGTGGAACCTCGCTTATGACTGGGTCCACAGAGGGACGCTATTGCCCCGAACAGCGGTCATCTGCTATGCGGATGATACGCTGATAGCTGTTAGGGGCAAAACGTACGAGGATGTCCGGAGGTTGGGTTCGGCGAGTGCCTCGTTGATAATAACGAGGATAGAGATGTTGGGGATCAAGGTGGCAGCGGGAAAGACAAGGGCTGTAATGTTCCACGGATCCAGGGGCAAGCCGCCGGCCGGGGCGTATGTCAGGGTGGGCGAAGCCAGAGTGCCCGTAGAGCCTACCCTGAAATACCTGGGGTTAGTGCTGGACGCGAAGTGGCGCTTCGATGCCCACTTCAAGCAGCTGGCCCCAAGGCTGATTAGTGCGGCGGCGGCGCTCGGAAGGCTGCTGCCGAACGTTGGTGACCCCAGCGCCAGCTGTCGCAAGCTGTACGCTGGGGTCATCAAGAGTATGGCCCTATATGGGGCGCCCATTTGGGCAGATCGCATAGGAGCGGGGAGCGAGGCCCTGCTACAGAGGCCGCAACGAATAGTGGCGCAAAGGGCCGCGCGGGCGTACTGCACCACGTCGTTCGCGGCCGTATGCGCACTGGTGGGGTCGCCTCCATGGGCGTTTGAAGCGAGGGCGCTATCAAGCCTATATTGGCTAAGGGCGGAGGCCCGGCAACGGGGAGAGAGGCTAACATCAGAGGAGGTGATAGCCCACAGGAGCTGGGGGCGCAGCAGTTCGGGGTGAGGACCCTGGAGGCGCTGCGGCCAGTCCTAGGGCAATGGAAGGAGAGGAGGCATGGGTCGCTGACCTTCCGTCTGGTGCAGGTGCTGTCAGGGCATGGATGTTTTGGCAGCTACCTGCACCGCATACGGAGGGAAGCGACCCCGTCATGTCATCATTGTGGCGCTGTCGGGGACACGGCACAGCACACCCTCGAGGAGTGCTCGTCGTGGTCTCGGCAGCGCCATGATATGGTCATGGCAGTAGGAAGGGATCTCTCGTTGCCCAGCGTCGTTAAAGCGATGCTGGACAGCGACAGATCCTGGAACGCGGTCGTCTCCTTCTGTGAGGAAGTCATCCTACAGAAGGAGACAGCGGAGAGGGCCCGCGAGGGGGACGCCCGGGCCGGCCCTCTCCGTCGCCGACGACCGGGGGGAAGGCGGCGGCAGTACGACCGCCTCTTTCCACCCTAGTGGGACTGCGGGCGGCGGACAGGGTGGTCCGTCGCTCGCATTGCACAGTCTCACCCGTCGAGGGGGGATGCCTAGGTGCTCCCGGGCATCCCCCTGACCACCAGGAGGAGGAGGAATTACTGCCGGTAACGTGGAGCGTCATCCGGATCCCACAAAACCCGTTTCGACAGACGAGGGAGCACTGTTGGGTTTTTAGTGGGTAGGGCCCCCCATTTGGGGGGAGAAGGAGTCCCACGTAACCCCGCCACTCACCCGGGGCGGGGTATGCGTAACGCATTTTCCTAACAATAAAAAAAAACAGGTATATACAGTGGTGGTCACATAATTAAAGACACATTGCTTTGATTGAGACATAAAAGTTTGCTACCGAAAAAAGTTTAGGTTTCCGAGGCGTTCTCAGAACACAGTAAACGCGGACAAAGTCGCGGGCGGCAGCTAGTATAGAATAAAACTTACGGTAATTCCAAGTAACTGATGTGAGGTAAGGCTGTTTTCAAGTGATGTTTTAGAACGGCATCTGATTTGAAACTTCTGTAACAATGAGATTATAATAAATTTTATAATAAGTATAATTTTGACGACAACCGTTGCCGAGTGGTATATACGTCGGGATTTCCTGGTATCGTCTACTTAAAAAGTATCGGGTTCGAATCCCGTCGGGGGCAGATGTTTCAGTGATGATAACGAGCATTTGTACCTTAGTCATGAATGTTTATATATATTTCTATATATACCTAGTCAGGTCATAAATTCTGTCACATGTTTAATATAAAATAATTGAAACAAGTTTATTTATTATGTAACCATTTATATACCAAAATGAACTTAACAAAACATAGATTCTTATGACAATAATGTTTATTCAAAATGGCCTCCGTGATTTTGAATACAGGCCTTCAATCTGCGTGGCCAGTCGTCTATCGCAGCACGAACGAGGTCCATGTCAATATCGGCGGCTGTCTTAATCAAGGATGTCTTGAGTGACTCCAAATTGGGATGAGGCTTTGAGCACGCCTTTTCCTCCAAGTGTTGCCATATCTTGTAATGTAACGGACTCAAATCTGGACTGGAGGAGGGCCAGTCTTTGTGCCGGATGAAGTCGATTTCACGCGCCGCCAGCCAGTCTTGTGAGCTCTTCGCTCTATGAGCTGGCGCCGAATCTTGTTGGAATACCCAGTGCCTGTTATAGAACATGGTATGAGAAACAGGTTCCACAAGGTTCGTCAAGACTGTATTTTGATACACAACTGCATTCGTTTTTACACCTTTCTCACAAAAATGTACCTCTGTTAAGCCCCAATAAGAAACTCCCAACCATACCATGAGCGAGGATGGAAAATGACCTCGTTGGACACGCGGAATACGGTTGCTCGCTTCTTCACTACTGTGTGCGTACACCTTATCATTTTGTTTGTTGTAACTCTTTTCATTAGAAAAAATAATTTCCCGATATTTTTTTCCCGCGTACCGCTTCAACAAAGCGCGGCATCTCTTGTCTCAGGTCCATTAGACGAGCATTCAAACGATGTCCTGTTTTTCTTCGATATGCCCGAATCCCTTAGTCTTCATTTAACACCCTTTTCACAGTGGTTCTGCTTAACCCCATCTTAAGGGCCAACAGTTTCTGCTTACGTTTGGGATTTATTTGAATTCGCGCCTTCACAGCTTTCATCACTGCTGGAGTCCTAACAGACCGAGGGCGACCACTTCTTGACCTGTAATCTATACTAGAGTCTTCATTGAATCGTTTGATGGTACGATAAACGAATCTTTTGGTTATATTAAAAATTTTCAGTATGTCAAAAATTTGAATTGGCGCGTAACCGCAACTATGCAACGCAATAACTGCAACATGGTCTTCTTTAAGCGTCCACTCCATATTTAAAAATGAGTAAAATTCTAAAAAGTATACATTTTTATTTTCATGAACAATTCTTAGCTTAGAATTCAATATTTTTTTTTTGTGGCAGCATTCTAAAAGAAAAGGTTTTACTGTGTGACAATACTTATGACCTGACTGCGTATATATATATACTTTTTATCTATCTATCTATCCTATAGACTATCCTTATGGTAATTGATTTTTTGCATGCAATTAAAAACTCATTTTTAATGATGCCAAAGAAGTATAACTTCTCACGCGCGTACATAAGTACGCACCCATTTTTGAAGTTATACTTCTTTAGGCGCGTTATAAAAAAATTATGAGAGTGAAATTTTAAGATGCGCGCGCATCTGTAACACAAAAAATTAACACCATGAAGCTAAAGCGACCAACTTCATGTGCCGCGCTGCCATTACCGCGTCGCCCGCCGCACCGTACGCATGCGCGGCCACTCGCGGTCCTAGCGCGGGAAACACGTACAACAAACATCGGGAAAAGTTACGAGTTTTGAATTTAGAACAGAGACTGTTTTCATATCTATATACCTATATAAAAATGAAACCCGTTTTCCGTTGTCACGACATAACATGAAAACGGCTTGACCGATTTGGCTGTTTTTTTTTTGTAGTTTTCTAATACTCTGTACAAAGTTCTTACGGAAAAAAATATAAGGAAAATCCCAAGGGGATAAAATAAGGAATGAAAGTTTGTATGAAACTTTATCAATTTTAAACTGATCGGGCTGAGACTTTGCATGCAGGTATAAGAAGAATCATAGATGAATGTCATTGTGTATAATACAAGCCTGAGAACAAAAACTGTAGTCTACACTTCAGCTCTACACCGAAGCGAAGCGAGGGCGGGCCGCTAGTTTATAATATTTATCCACATGTTTCTAGTTTGTATATTCGGAATACGTGTTTGAGTTTCATACAAGTGCAAATCACATACGTTCTAATAAATTATATTCAGTAGCGATTTTAATTGAATATTTTGATTATTTATTTATTTTTTCAAATTAAAACTGAACTTTATTGACTGTGTCCTTTTCCAGACTTTTTATTAATTTATTGTAATTAATTATTTGCATGCAATTAAAAACTAATTTTAAACGATGCCAAAGAAGGATAACTTCTCACGCGCCTACATAAGTACACGCACCCATTTTTATTGTTAAAAATATTCATACTGACTTGTCACATTCCACGCAATAAAAGTCGCGGGTCCTCACGTGCTTTATGCTGTGGTTCTTCAGTGACGACGGGGTACTGAATCTCATACCGCACTCTAAACACACGTGCGGTTTGTTCTTAACACCTGCACTTTCGTCTTTCTCGTGGCATCTGATACGAATAATAATAATTAATTATAACCCCGGCAAACTTCTTGTGCATCGAACAATAGAAAAGGAATATATTGTTTGAAACCAGTTTCAACGGTATAGATGCACTGATCTATTTATTTATTGAAGTTTTGCATCCTTTTCAGGAAGCGTCGTCTGAATAGGGTATTTGACAGTATTAAAAATAAAGTGCCAATTGTTAGCATCTGTGTTTAGAATGAATATTGGCAGGGGATTTTACTATTTTTACAAAAAAAAAGATCATAATTTTACTAAAAACCCACGAAAAAGATAATAGGTTTTTTATCTATTGTCACGTGACCCAAGACGCTTGGGATTGGCGGAGCCTAAAATGACGTCACACGCAAGTAAACTTCCGGTTAAAGTGACATTACATTGTATCGTTTGACGTTTTAATAACACTCGTGTGACGTCACACACTAGTAAGACGCCATATTGTCCAGAGAAACGTTTTCGCGGCAACTTGAAAATGGAGTTTTTGATTTGGTTATTTTTACTGAAATACACAACAGAATGATGAATATCCACTTTTTACGGACTCCATAAGCATTAGCCAATAACGTGAGATCGTTTTCTAAAACCTGTCAAATACCCTATTATCCTGAAAAGGATGCGAACCGTCAAATTCTGTTGCGTAAATTAGTAAAATAATTAAAATAAAGTTTTTGCTTTCAAATATAGTGCGAAAAAGTTGTCTAAAAATAGTGCGCGTTTACAGGTACGTGACACACGACTCTCATCAAAATGTCGAACAGTAAAAGGTAATGTCACTTCGTCAGGATGTTTACAAGCAGGTGACGTCATTTTAGGCTCCGCTAATCCTAGGCGGGTTCGGTCACGTGACAATTATAGCAAAAAATTGTTTTCTATTTCGTGATTTTTAGTTATATTATCAACTATTTTTTATTTTGGAAGAATAGTGAAATCGCTTCCAATATTCATGTACCAGTATTGGTACTATATTTTATATACTGTCAAAATAATAGCCTATTAAGCAAAATCTCATACTCCTCAAGGTTCAAAATAAGCTTGAAAGGGGTTTTACTTTACATATCCATTAATATGACAAATTTAATGTGTCACTATGCTATCCAATCACGAAAAAGGACTGAACGGATTTAGAAAAAAATAATTGTACAGGCATAGATTAATTATCACTTGAATTGAGAGATAGATTCTGTCAAAACTAACTAATCTAGTTAATATAAGAATAAAAGATACGTCAAAGAATAAGCAACTTTAATAGGGTATTTGACAAGTTTTAGAAAATGATCTCACGTTATTGACTAATTTTTATGGAGTCCGTAATGGATATTCATCATTCTGTTGTGTATTTCAGTAAAAATAACCAAATCAAAAACTCCATTTTCAAGTTGCCGCGAAAACGTTTCTCTGGACAATATGGCGTCTTACTAGTGTTTTACGTCAAAAACACTAGCAAGACGCCATATTGATTAAAACGTCAAACGATACAATATAATGTCACTTCAACCGGAAGTTTACTTGCGTGTGACATCATTTTAGGCTCCGCCAATCCCAAGTGTTTTGAGTCACGTGACAATAGAAAATAAAACTATTATCTTTTTCATGGGTTTTTAGTAAAATTATGAATATTTTTTTTTGTAAAAATAGTAAAAACCCCTGCCAATATTGATTCTAAACACAGATGCTAACAATTGGCACTTCATTTTTAGTCAAATACCCTATTTTATGGAATTCTCTAAACACTAACGAATCTAGTTAATATAAGTGTAAAAGATACGTCAGAGAATAAGCAACATTAATTAAATCAATTGAAAATTTGAAATATCAAGTATCTATTTTCTTAAGTGTGTGAAGTGTCACTTACCCCATAATATGTACCTTCAGGGATTCCTTATTGGCGTATGTCTTGGGACAGTACGGGCAAGAAACACGACTTTTGCGCGTGTGACAGTAACATATGTGTTTCCTTAGTGACACTTGACGTCTGAAACAATCCATACTCATAATCAGCAGCCTATTATTATTTTTTTATTTACTCTTTACATTTTAAAACATTTGCGAGAAAAGAGTAATTATACCTAGTTTAAGAGCCCTTTCACATTTTTTGCAAAAATCGTAATTTTTGAGCGCCTCGTTTACCCTCTTAGAAAATTTTTTTGACTATTTACAATAGAAGTAAACGGTAGATTTATTGTTCCTTTTGTAAGTTAATGTAGAATATTTGCAAATACTATTTTCCTTTATTTGTACTGGATCGTTCTACCGCAGCTAGTTTACGGAAAAAACGATAATATGCACAACTTCAAACACCTGAATCTCTAAATAATGTTCAATAAATTAGATCGAATTTATTACTACGACATTAGAAATATGTTTTTGTTGTAATGTAATGTATTAGAATTATGATTTTCTATCTCATTAATTATCAAAAAAGACATCGAACCTCCATGAGTTTTCCCAAAAAATAATGCAGTTTACCTCGTATCTTGATATTGAATTAAATAGAATTACTATCAAAAACTTTCATTAAACTAATGAACCATCATTGAACTACTGAAATATGTATATATTTTTATAATTAGTTCATTAATAATTATTTTATAAGACTCGAAACATCACCCGTAAAATGCAATATTACTAGTGAAAATCTACCTACGCGCCGATCAGTACGGCAGCGGCGCAATTTTGTAAAAGGGCCCTTAAGTAATGAAGCAAACTTTTTGTAATAAGAAAATCGCGCGCATTTCATCGCAACATCTTGTCACTAAACCATAATATATGTCATTCAACAAATTAGAAATGATATGGAATACGAACTGCGCTAAAAAGTGGTTCCACGCAAACTGTGATCAAGTGGGCGGGGCGAAAAAATGCGATCGACACGCCTATAATGCGATTGGTTCGGTTTATCGTTTAAAATTATCTTACCCAATGAATGGATAGCCGTTTCATTTACAGATATGTGATTTGTCAAAGTACTCGTATTTTATTTTTTCTGTGTTAGTGTCGCGTTAGTATTGAAGTTGTATTATTTGTTTGAAACGATTTTTAGCGTCCTTTGCTAGAGAGTAACGGTTCCATATCATTACTTAAACGTTGATGTCATTATATTAAACTATTTGTGAATAGGGTATTTGACAAGTTTTAGAAAACGATCTCACGTTATTGACCAATGTTTATGGAGTCCGTAAAAAGTGGATATTCATCATTTCTGTTGTGTGTGTGCATTTCAGTAAAAATAACCGAAGCAAAAACTCATTTTTCAAGTTGCCGCGGAAACGTTTTTCTGGACAATATGGCATCTTACTAGTGTGTGAAGTCACACGACTGTTATTAAAACGTCAAACAATACAATGTAATGTCACTTTAACCGGAAGTTTACTTGCGTGTGACTTCATTTTAGGCTCCGCCAATCCCAAGCGTTTAGGGTCACGTGACAATAGATAAGAAAACTATTATCTTTTTCGTGGGTTTTTAGTAAAATTATGAATATTATTTTTGTAAAAATAGTAAAAACCCCTGCCAATATTCATTCTAAACACAGATGCTAACAATTGGCACTTTATTTTTAATACTGTCAAATACCCTATTGCAGTAATAAAATACGTGCGTCTTGTACAACGGTTTATTGAAGAGGGAAGGATGACACTGTACAAAATTATAATAAAAACAGTTGTGGATACCTTCATAATAAAATATTAGAATTGTTGACAAAGCACATTCTTATTACTCAGTATTAAGGTTGAAAGTAATTTATAACACCTATAAGACATTCAAATTATTACATAGATTCTCTAATTTCCTAAGTCCTTTCTTATATAATAAGTTAAATAGAGTGTTAGGTATTTATACATTAAACTATTTTAACTGTAGAACTGTAGTATTTAATTATTTGCACAGCCTGACATACGAGCAGAACGAAGAATTACTTCTTATTTGTAAATAAATGAACGTAACTCCATAATTTACATTTACCAACATTTATACAATGATTACTTTAAGTTCTGTTTTAATTAATTTGTTAATTTATTAATCATTCAATATATTATTTATGATCTACATAAAAGCCTGAAATACAGGTACAATTTTAACTGTAACCTAGTTCAGGCATCCATTATTTTGTACTTTATATTGTTATTAGTATTATTATGCAATGTATGACCTTATTTGAATAAAGATATATTTATTATTATTATTATTATATTTAAAAATACATACGTGAAAACTTTAGGGCAGTGTGGGCAGTTGTACTGGAAGTAACCGAAGCAGTGTGTGGCAGTGTAGTGTTCCTTTATTGTTATCTTGCTGACCCTTACGAGATCACACTCGATGCATTTGTAACGACTAAAACAAAAATAGATTTTGGACTACCAACCAACTATCAACTCTCACTAACAAGGCGACTATTTAGAGCGTCACTAGGATTGTTGCAAACATATCCTTTGCCTTTCGTATAGGGAAAAAATTAGAAATATAATACTAAAAGTATGTTTGTTCGCGACTTGGTCAGTGTTTTCGTGACAATTTATAAGGTTACTAACGGCCCGCCTTCGCTTCGCTTCGGTGTAGAGCTGAAGTGTCGACTACAGTTTTTGTTCTCAGGCTTGTATTATACACAATGACATTCATCTATGATTCTTCTTATACCTGCATGCAAAGTCTCAGCCCGATCGGTTTAAAATTGACAAAGTTTCATACCAACTTTCATTCCCTATTTTATCCCCTTGGGGGTAGAATTTATCAAAATCCTTTCTTATCGGATGCCTACGACATAACATCTACTTGCATGCCAAATTTCAGCCCGATCCGTCCAGTGGTTTGGGTTGTGCGTTGATAGATCACTATGTCAGTCAGTCACCTTTGAGTTTTATATATATAGATTCGTATCATAGTAAATTGTTGTCTACACCCACGTTGTAAATCCTCCTAAGTTACAACGAGCGCATGCGTTCAGATAGCAAAGAAAAACACAAACTGAAAAAATCGCCACAGATGCATAGTCAACTTTAAATGTTAGTATTTTATTTGATGCTAGTATGAGCGTACCGTATCTACCCTTTTTGTTTTAATCTAAAAAACATACACACTATACATTTTAACATATTATATGCATTAACTCTAAGTATAATAAGTTTCAACAGTGCTGAAATATCGCAGACTCATAAGAATACAAGGTACATGGTAACAATCCCGTTAATAGCTGTAAGATATCCTATCTTTCAAGTTGGATGAAACTGTACATGGTGTGAAAATCTCTTATCTATTAGACAAGTCCGTCCGTCTGTCTGTCTGTGGTGCTGTTTCAGCGGCCAAACCGTAAGAGATAGATAAAGAGAATGTTTAAGTTATAAGTTAAGAATAGTCTGATAAGACTACAAACCGGATTTGAGTAACGTAGCACTTCCGGTTTTCGAGAAATCACGAATTTCAAACGAAACCACACAAAATCTCCGATGTTCTCATTTTTTTTTTAAATCAGGTTTTGGTGAACATTTGGTTCACTGGTTTGCTAGTTTGAATAAAATCGGTTAAGTTACCTACAATGCGAAGAGATGGCGCTGCCTTGCAGCTTAACGCTAGAAAAATTTCGACGCGGCTAATAGGGCCGTGGTAGCATAATGGTCAGTGCATTCGCCCGGATAGCGAAGGATGCGGGTTCGAGTCCCGTCCGCTGCCTGGTCCGCGTGGATATTTTTCTAGTAAACTTTTCTTTAGATTTAAACATCTAGCAGTTAAATGCTTAAAAAATAAATAAAATCATAACTATAATAGCTATTTCTTCTTTCAAATATTTAATACTTGAAAAAGTATTCATTTGACATTGTGGGTTACCTACAATGCGAAGAGATGACGCTGCCTTGCAGCTTAAGGCTAGGAAAATTTCGACGCGGCTAATAGGGCCGTGGTAGCATAATGGTCAGTGCATTCGCCCGGATAGCGAAGGATGCGGGTTCGAGTCCCGTCCGCTGCCTGGTCCGCGTGGATTTTTTTCTAGTAAACTTTTCTTTAGATTTAAACATCTAGCAATTAAATGCTTAAAAAATAAATAAAATCATATCGGTTAAGTAGTTTAGGTGTCCATAGTTGGTACAATCTTCTTCTTAATACCTATAGGTATTATATTAAGAAGAAGATTGTACCAAGAAATTTAAAATTTTCAACTCTTTCTCTCATTAATAAATACGCGATGGCAGTCTGTCAAGTATTGCATGCAATATTAGGGAGTCTACTCTGTTTCTCCGAAACGAACTTTCGGTAACGATGTTCAAAAGAATTTTAATTTCGTCAACTTAAGGTAACATTTGATTTGAACGATAAACTATCAAATTGAATTTTTCATTTGGTAGGCTTAGAGAATATAAACCTCAATCTATTTTCGGGCGAACGAATATTATTATAATTAGAAACGAATAAGCAAAATAGTAAGAAATTTCGATCGAAATTTCACTTTTCGTTGAATTAATGTAGGCCTCCTGGATCACATCATTTTGGTCCCAGCTGTACTGTACTCCTAGCACGAACCATTATCGAATTCGAATAGTTTGCAAACCGAAATGTCAATGTCAAATTTTGTGTGAAAACAGCAGCGCCACTTTGGACGTAACGGGAACTAAAAATCAGTACACATTTGACAATGACATTTCGGACTCGCAAACGTTACGAATTCGATAATGGTACGTGCTAGGGGTACTGCAGTCGTTAATTGCACACCAATCCTGATTGGACCTTCATGAATGGAACATCTGACGTATTTGTGGCTATGGGCAAAGCAAGTTTGGATATTAGACTGATGACGTTTAGGAACTCACCGTTGGTGGTATTGCCTGTGGCTTTGCAATTTCTCTTCAGTCGGCCTCCGTTGCGTACAAATATCACATACATAATCACCCATTTTCTGTTGAAATTGAAAACCAAGAAATGGTTAAAATTTAAAAGATGTAATGTATCTAGCTTATTTATGTATTTTTTTTCTAATCTTATTATGAATAAAAAAAATATTATATCACAAAAATTTACTAAGCGGACTAAAAGTAAGCTTATGCGATTTTCGTGAACTCGTCGAAATCGGTTCAGTAGTAAGTATCACATAGTTCACAGACAGACAAACTGACATACGGAATATTTTTTATGTGAAATGTGGGGAAAACAAGCATATGGACCCCTCCTGATTGTAAACGGCCATAACAAAGTAATAATAACAATATTCAACCATATGGCTCAATAGGGTATTTGACAGTATTAAAAATAAAGTGCCAATAGTTAGCATCTGTGTTTAGAATGAATTTTGGCGGGGATTTCCACTATTTTTACAGAAAAAATATTCATAATTTTACTAAAAACCACGAAAAAGATAATAGTTTTCTTATCTATTGTCACGTGACGCTTGGGAATGGCGGAGCCTAAAATGACGTCACACGCAAGTAAACTTCCGGTTAAAGTGACATTACATTATATCGTTTGACGTTTAAATAACAGTCGTGTGACGTCACACACCAGTAAGACGCCATATTGTCCAGAGAAACGTCTTTGCGCCAACTTGAAAATGGAGTTTTTGATTTGGTTATTTTTACTGAAATACACAACAGAATGATGAATATCCACTTTTTACGGACTCCATAAACATTATTCAATAACGTGAGATCGTTTTCTAGAACTTGTCAAATACCCTATTACATTTGGTCGTTATAACCCGTATGCGGGTGCATGAAAGATATTACTCGAATTCGGACACCCGAAGCAATATTTACACTGGAAAACGAGCTAGAAAACGTTGTCAGGTTACCAAAACGGAAACTACCCGAATACGGGCGTACTCGACTCCGTTCATTTACACTAAATCGGTCACCCGAATAGGGTATTTGACAAGTCTTAGAGAACGATCTCACGTTATGGACTAATGTTTATGGAGTCCGTAAAAGTGGATATTCATTATTATGTTGTGTATTTCAGTAAAAATAACCAAATCAAAAACTCCATTCTCAAGTTGCCGCGAAAACGTTTCTCTGGACAATATGGCGTCTTACTAGTGTGTGACGTCACACGACTGTTATTAAAACGTCAAACGATACAATGTAACGTCACTTTTACCGGAAGTTTACTTGCGTGTGACGTCATTTTAGGCTCCACCAATCCCAAGCGTTTTAGGTCACGTGACAATAGATAAGAAAACTACTATCTTTTTCATGGGTTTTTAGTAAAATTATGAATATTTTTTTGTGAAAATAATAAAAATCCCTGTCAATATTCATTGTTAACACAGATGTTACTGTCAAATACCCTATTCCATTGGCACTCGTATTCGGGCTAACGACAAAATGTAATAGCACCATTAGGTGGATCCCAAATAAAAGCAGGTGACTGCACTTTGGATCTATATGTATTTCGTTTGGTTTAAAATATTGTATATAGAATTTCAATATTGAATTTTCACTAAAGAAAACTTACCTCACTATGTTTCTGCATGTGTTCCTCATAGCTAGGCTTATAATTGAAACCTTTAATACATTTCTCACACTTATATAGACAATTTAAATATCTTGTATCCTGCATCATCTTGGCTCGTTCCTCCATACATTGTTCCATTGTTATAAATACATGTTTTGTTTTGGGTATCTCTGCAAAAATTGCGAAAAATTAAAATATTCTCAAAACTATGTGTACAATTCTAAATGCTTGGTTTTTCACTTGAGCACATGGTGTATAGCATTGTCACAATTAGGTACTAGAAGCTGTAAAATATTATTATGTTAAAAAAAATTGCTACTATGATCTTTATAGTTATGTTGGCCACTATTTTGTGTTATGGCAACACAGATTTTGAACATTTGGTTCGACATGGAAATTGAAAAGTTCTTCAGTACCATCAATTGAACTTTGATTATGCATGCTGCATTCCATTGTTAGTTGGCTGTTAGTATCAAAACTTATGTTTATTACTTGTTAATGTATTTTCGTAGTTACTATTGTGTTCTTGATATGGAAGAGCAGTGCATCGTAATTCGTAACACAAGCAATACCTTGCTTAAAGCAAGGTTGCTGAGTTTTTGGCGGGATTTCATCGAGTTCTGTTGGAGTGTTATTTTTATTATTCTTAAATTCGTTCGTAGTGAATATTGTGAAATAAAATTGATGTGATTTTGTGTTACAACCATCTGCGCAACTGAAGAATTAGTGGAATCTTTAAAATATATGCTATTCCGGTCAAGTGGACGTGAGAACTTTATTGTAGTGTTGACTACCTCACAGAAGCTTATCGAAAAAACCAACTCGATATATTTCGTGTCAAACACTCCAAGAAACAATAGAATGCGTCACACCGACATTCTAATGTAAAAAAAAGAAGATTAAGATTTGTATTTATGTATACGACTGAATGACTTGTATCCATGGCCACGAATAAATTATATAAAAAAAGCAAGGTTGCTCCAGATACTATAAAATATTTTCACTCCCAAGTTATCACAATTAAAAAATTATATTTACATAATTTACAGCTCCTCGTGAAAGCGACTATATGAACAATGGATACAACTTCAATTTACTTAACCAAGAAATTTAAAATAATGACCTCACCTACAGCCTTTTTAGTGTCTTTCTTGTCTACTTCCGTTGATTTCTTGATTCTTTTCTTTACTTTCTTCTTTTTCAAAGTTTCTTTGAGGTATTTTAAATCAACATCATCGGATTCCACCTCCTCTTTCAACAGTGCTTTGATTTGAAACTCATCTTCACCTTTGATGAGTGTTTCATGAAATTCTGGAGAAAATGTGCTTGTATTAGAGACTATCCACATCCGATTTGGGAACGACTTATTGTAGGATAAAAATATAACGTACTGCTTGCAATAGTGCAACGCACACATCCTACAAAAACAAGGTCAGAAACAAAATACAAAATCAAATCAACCCAATGGAGAACACAAAACGTTCAAAATGATACACTTAAATAAACCTAACACTAACATCAAATTATAGACGACTTATGTTTTATTACTTTTTATTTAATGTAAATACATGCTATGTTATGACCCGTGGTTATGACTGAGAGAAGTTTAGAGCCTTTTTAAATTTCCGAGATTTCGCGCTCCCTGCGCTTATGTCACTTATAGTGACACCTGGGATCGCTCACGCGGCAACGCACTATTATGACAATTATGAACTGTGAAAGTCACTTATAATGCGATTCAAATAAGAATAGGAAAGAAAGCTAATGACCTCCAGCTGTCAAATGAAAAGTACGGTTTGCAAAAAAATCTTGGAACCCTTTTTTAGCACTGCTATTTCTAGAATAAAAACCAAACATTTGTAAACAAACAATAACAAATATTGATAATTAATATTAGTTGATATTTTTTTCATTTATTGAGCTTTGGCTATGAATGGTTGATAACCTAAACCGTCAACCAAATGTCACTTTAAATTGCGTTCAGACGCTCAGTTTAAAACCTTCGTTTACCTAAAGGATACATGTTCGTATGTGACCTAGTTATAGTGCTATTATTCATAACTACTCCGGCAGTAATGCAGAGATGAGCGGAATTGAAGAACTAGATTCTGTTTTATGTTTTTTCTCACACAGTCTTAATAAATAAATATTATTAAAAAATAGTTGTTTTTTTCTCAATCGTAGTAAATATTTTAATAAAATAATCTGATGTTTTTCTCACCTCATCTCAGTTAGAAATATTATTAAATAAAATCTTTTTTTTTTGCTCACTCTACCTATTTGGTTTGAATTGACAGCTATGACGTCAAAATATGACGCCCGGTTGGTCCTATTCTTAGTTGAATCGCATTATATCAGATTACTTGATCAGTGATCATACTAGCACTTATGGCAGAACTACACTTATCCCACATGTTGTGTTGTGACGCATCAGAGCTATCTGTTTCATACATTTATGCCGCAATAACATTTGGTCGTTAGCCCGTATCGGTTCGGTTGCATGAAATACATTACTCGAATTCGGGCACCCGAAACGGTTTCGTAAACAAAAGGGAATCTACCCCTTCCCCTTTCCACCACCGGAAGACCAGGCGCAGCGAGGGCTTCCACCCTTATGTTGTCGAAGTTCCTCCCATTCGCACGAAGCGATTTGCTTCGGCCTTCATTATGCGAACGGCTAGGGAGTGGAACTCCTTGCCGAGGTCTGTTTTCCAGGACCAATATAATCTGGACATCTTCAAGGCCAGAGTGAACAGGCATCTTCTAGGGAGGCCTGTACTATCCTAGGCCTCGTCATTGCTTTCCATCAGGTGAGATTGTGGTCAAACGCATTGCCTATTTTGCATAAAAATAAAAAAAAATAGGGGCGCACTCGACTTCGTTCATTTACACTTAGTCGGTCACCCGAATTCCATTGGCACTCGTATTCGGGTGAACGACCAAGTCTAATCGCGCTATGAGTATGGTTAGAATGAGAACGCTGTCGACACATCGCGACGCACAAGTATAGTTCTAACCGTACTAAATATATGAAACCGATCGCGTCAAATCGCGTAAGTACACAACACGACAGATAAATATATTTCTGCCTTTAACAATTTACATCTTGGATGACTATACGTCAGCGTTGCCATTGATACGGCAATTTGAGCTCATAATTTCAGATTATACGGCATAAGTTAGGTTTTTCATTGCCGTATAATTATACTAACTATTTATTTAAAAATTAGGTAATACGGCAAAATTATGCTTTTTATTTAAAAATACGGCAATCTGATGTATCAAATACGGCAACTCTTTCAAACTTGATGGCAACACTGCTATACGTTCGTGTTGTACGGAAAAAATCCTAATTTATGTACTTAAACTATGGACTAACAATACTTGCACTTATTTTTTACATATTATTTTTGTATCTAACTATGACAAAAATATTTTTTTCTAAGTAGGCATTATGTTAAAAGTCGCTTGTTTTGCGTTTTGAGTATTTTTGGTTGGGAATTAAGACATTGTAACATGCCCATGACATACCTTTAACATTTCAAATAACTACATACAAAATGCTTAACAAGAAAGATCACGAAAAAACATAAGCAAGAGCGATCGGTGAAGAAATGGGCTCATTGGCCGCTCTCGCCCAGCCACGAGACAACCAGTGACGTCATCGCATGTTCGCGGGCCGTTCCTGTTTTTAAACAAAGCCATGCGAAAATGCATACTTTAATCTTTTAATTTTCTAAGTAATTTTTAAAGATATAATAAAAGGAAAATACAGATATTCTTTAAATTTTTTGTAGATAACTTTGGCATTTTTAGAAAAAACCTTTATCAATACTACAAAAAGTCAAAAGTGGGAAATGGGGGATCCTACTTCTACTCTTCAATGGGGATATAAACAGGCTGCTGATGATGAATTAATATGTAGGAAGAAATATAACATCAAGCAGTTACATGCTTTAAAAAATTATAACTACATTCTGATTGTTTATCTGAAAAATTGGATTATTTATTTTGCGTGATAACTTTTAATTACTGTTATCAAAAAACTGTTATAGAAGTGCAAAAATTCTTTGGGTAGCTTGTTTTCCTTTTACACATGTCATAAAATTAGCAAAAGTTTACAAGAGTATTAGTATACTCTTCATAAGTCATTTTTTATTAATTTGGACATTTTACTATTTTGGTCATATTACTTTATTTGAATCCAAATTTCCCTTTAAAACAGAAGAACCATTTGGTGGGGCCAGATTTAGAGGTGTGGAGGCCCTGGGGTATCGCAAGAGTAGGACGGGGGGCTTTTTTAAAGGTTGGTGACCCATTGAATTTATAAAATTTTGAACTCTGTTGGGGTAGCTGCTGGGCTACAGCCCCACCTGCCCTGCCATATGGTATACTGGTATAGTCAACAAATGGGGAAATATCGGGTACACTAGGCTAACGTTAAAAAAGAGAGGCTTTAAACAACATGAATTAAAAATAAATAGAAGAATCACTGGTGAATGAGCAATAAAATTGTTTTTATTAATGAATAATATTCATACCATCATTGTCAACAAATTCGCCTTCCAAATGATCAGACATATCTCCGTTCTCTTCTTTTATCTCTTGTTTTATATTCATAGCTTTAGCTACACTACCACTATACATCACAGAGTAAGGCTCATCAACATCATCAGATGGATTTCCACTCAACTGTATCATATCCAGAGGAAAATGCTTTAATTCTATCACAGGTTCAATCTGATCTCTGATATTTTGAAATGTGCAATCCATCAACTGAAATGAAGTTAAAACAATACAATTATTTATCATGCTGATATCGAGAAATCGAAATAAACCATGCAATGAAAATGGCTCAATTTATGTGCAATGTGCGCATGATTCTATTGTCAGAATATTTGAAAGCAGCCAATGCATAGCGACAAGTACGATATCTACCATACATAGAAGACATTTTTGGGGCGGCTTCCATGCAATCAATGAGTTATCTAGGCTTGTATATAATAAAATCATCAAGAAACAACTAACAATGAATTTTGACTTATGTTAAAAAATATAACTTAGTGACACCAAAACAGTAATATGGAAGACCAGCGCTGATGGCAACATCAGCACAATGCTGAGTTGGGAACGATTTAAGACAAAAAAATATGTGTGTTTTGTTTATATATTATTTAACTGCTGTTTTGTCTTAAATATTTTTTATTTTCTTTCTTTCTTTCTAATGCAACAAAACTCTTAAAAATACTTACATTGTGAAAGTTCGCCAATAGTATTTGATTGCTCTGTACATTTTGTATGAATAGCTCAGCATGTTGGGCCATTCTTTTGCATATATAACACAATGATAATGTATCAGCCTGTAAGTGATATGTTTCATAGTTAAAACAACATTGTGTCCATCATTTGGTGTTTATCAGGATATTGGTGTTGATACTGGCATGATTCTCTAAAAGCCCAACTTTAATTAGACAACAGTGTCTCTTTATCATTCTCTATACAGAATGAAAAACAGGGACTAATGTTAAAATTAGTTTTAAGTTTAAAGAATTATGCCAAAAGCGACATCAATGCCAGTTTGTAGTGTGCTCAAAGTATATGTGATGATTGTAGAAAATGTTAAAGTATGGAACCTTGCTTTTTTTCTTTTTAGAACTAAACAAATAAGAAACATTGCGAAAGAACCCCGTTTAATTTAATGTTTTTAACTGACCAAATTAGGATGACAATGAATGAAGATTAATAATATTTATTCGACTGTTTGATCTCTCGCACATTGTCAAAGTCTGTCTTTGATCAAATATTATTTTGCTCTTGGTACATATGAAAAAAGCTTTACAAATTACCTGAAACAATGTTTTCAAAGTATCATTTTGCACTTTGAAATTGTGAAGTGCATTTTCAACTTTTCGACTTAAACAACCTAAACAACATTGGGGAACATTTAGAATGTCTTGTTCCTCCATATTTATTTAATTAAATTTGCACTCATCTAGTAAGAAACATAAAATAATAGGAAAATTTAGACAACAACACAAATCAACCACTGTCACTTTATGTGAAATGTCAAAAACTTTTTTTTAAAAGGGCTGAACTTTTTGGTCATATTGCCTTGTCAATTCCATTTTTATAAATACCTTTCTATTCGGCTTCTCTTTAAAAAATCTTATTTTACTTTAAATACATTTTTAAACGTACACCTAAGTCTTCTTCTTCTTTTATTATGGCATGATGGTTGCCTTTTGCCATATTATTATGCAAGCTACACCTAATTCACTGATAAGCTATTGAACCTGAATAGCCAACGCAGACGAGGGATTTTGGTCTTCGGTCTACGGACTTTATTTTTCAAAAAAATAGATCGCTTCGATTACAATTGCATCGAGTAACACATACGAGGGATTAGAAGTACCGCGTACAAAAAATCCTTCGAACAAATGAGGACACCAGGAGACCGGATTGGTTCGGAGGTAGGTATCCATGATAAAAATAGAACTCATGAGACTAGGAGCTGCAGCGCAACGCATAAAACGAACTTCAGTCCGTGTTGCTTCATGAACAGCAGTACTTAAATAGGCTTAGGATAGAGGACTTTAACGCACATAATATGTTTATTTAAACAAAGTTAAACTTTATTGACACAGTATTCAACATAGAGTAAGGTACAAATATTATAATCTTATTAAGTAATATTACACACAAAACAAACTTCTTTCGATTTTTTGGTATAGGTACATATCAATTCCAATTACGTGTTCCCTCCCTCTTACAACTTGGGATCCTTTAAAAGAGGCGTGAAGAAGCAACATGCAGGCCGGCAGGGTGAGGATGGCTGGTGTGGCAGGTAGAACTGCTGTTTCAGCTATCTTCGCGTCTGGACTTCACCTTCACTTAACATCAGGTGGGGTGAAGTCATTTGTCGGATCTATCTATAAAAAAAAAATAAGAGTCTTCACAGTCCATGACACCCGAATCCATGATACTGACGTAATCACTATCTCGACCCCTACCCTCCCATGTCATCAAAAATAAGCAAAGCAAAGACCCTCCTGCCCCCCTATAGTACTTACGTAATACTTGAACGGCCCTTAAATGATCGGGCCCTGTCCTCCGCTTACAAGTCCCTTGTCAGACGTTGTATTTCAAACTATGAATAAAAAGATACAAAACAAGAAAATACAACCAAAAAAGAACGGATTTTATATTTTTACAGCTATCTACCTAACGATCATTGTAATTTTGCTATGCATTGTAACTGTTTTACATTGATCTATTGTATATTATACATACACACATACATCGTAGATTTAGTGGCGGCGCTAGGCGTCGTCGACGTCGGCCACCGCCGACGGCTTCGCGCCTGAGGGGGCCTCGCAAAAAAATTTTACAAGTTATCTATTTATTTTCGTTTCTCCTGGCCTGGCTTAGGTAGCCGACCCCGAACAAGTCGGGGAAAAAGCTAAGCAAATGATAATGACTTTTATTATTTTCGAACACGTGCGTGATGGAAGCGAGTAGTACTTTACGGGTATTCAGAATCGTCTGTCTGGCAACACTATGTTTGTAATTATTTTTTGTCATCATTTGATTATCAAAAATAAAACTCGTTTACTCATACGTTATTTTATAATTTGGCTCACGTAATTTAACGGTTTTTAACTGCGAAGTAAAATAGGCCTCGCGAACTTGATGTCGCCGACGTCCACATGTGGTCTAGCGCCGCCACTGCGTAGATTACTTTTGCAATGATTATTTTATGACACACTTTCTTTAAGCATACATGTTTAATTGCTTTCTTTATTCGAAGTTATTTATACGTATTATAAACATTGATTATTAATTTAGGTTGAGGACACAATTTATGGGTATGATTTATTAAAACACAAATTATTTGAGAATAAACTATTTATTAATGTATAATCAATCAGTCTCTGTACATTTTATTTGAGGTAAGTACGAGATCCTTTGTCACACAGACTCTTGTGCGCTGAATGTTTATGCTGGTATGGGAATGTTTTCATGCATTTCTGACACTTGAGTTACTCTGCACAGTAATGCCTGCAAAAAAAGGAATTCATTTTATTTATTAGTAATAAGTTTTAGATTCTACGTCAAGTCTGTTGTGCTCTACAGGAGCAGAACACCCATTTCTATAGGCGTGCCCCAAGGTTCAATGTTAGGCCCCTTGCTTTTCCTTATTTATATAAATGAAGGTCATTCTCCACTTAACCATAGATTTTTGTGAAACAGTACTATTTGCTGTTGACACCTCTTTAGTGTTAAAAGCCAGAAGAGGTAATGATTGTTATGACGAAGTAGAACTGCTATACCAGCTATCTTCGCGTCTGGATTTCACCGTCACTTAACATCGGGTGGGGTGGAGTCATTTGTCGGAACTATCTATAAAAAAGAAGTAAATTATGCTCTCTCTGAAGTCCTAATTTAGTTTACGGTAAAAAATCTAAAACTTAACTTAAGTAAAACAAAATGTTTCTCTACCTAATATGAGACAGTTTAGTACTTTTATAAAAATAAACAATCAGCCTGTATGTATGTAGTGGACTATACAAAGTATATGCTTGGAGGACTAGCTATATTATATTCACGTAAACGAGCTATAGTCTAAGATCCGAACCTAAATCGACCTTCACCGAGCTGATAATAGAATAAAACATATTTTATCATGAATTTAGTATATTAGAAGATATATTAAAAAAGGGTAGCCTAAAAAATCCTGAACAGACTTTTGAAATTATAGAAAAAAAGATTTTTAATTAAATGTCAAACATCAAGATAATAAGAAAATTTAGTCCTGACCTACAGTATCAAACGTATAAAATGTGCAGCCGTTGGGTAGTCTTTTATTTACCTAGACGAACTACTGGGTTGCCAGGTATATCGATGCCAGTTACGTTACCCAACGACTGCACATTCTATGCGTTTTATAATTCTAGTCAGGACAACATTTTCTTATTATCTTGATGTTGCAACATCACTACATAGTATAAAGCAAAGTAGCTTCCCGCTGTCTGTCCCTATGTCCCTATGTATGCATAGATCTTTAAAACTACGCAACGGATTTTGATGCAGTGTTTTTTTATAGATACGAGTGATTCAAGAGGAAGGTTTTTATGTATAATACATGCATAATATAGTAGAGAAACACTAATAATTTTAGAGGGTTTTAATGTAAGGTTGTAAAAAAAAACCCTTTTTTTGCGCTTACATTTGCAAACGCTGGCTGAACCCCACGAGATAGATCAAAATATTGTACTACAGAATTGTACACCTTAAAAAGGTCTACAAAAACGTCCGCGATGGTATATGTCTATCTCTCAGGGATAACCTACAATAACCATTTTTTATTCTATACTTTTGACGAGAAATAATAGCTTATTTACGAAGCGATTTTCAGCAATATAACATTCATCCTTAACCAATAGGGAAGATGCAATATTTTTATTTTTGTTTTCATTTTAAAGAATTCCATGTAGAATAAACCACAGATATATTAAAAAATTAAAACATTGTGATTTATCGGAAAAAATGCGGTTTTAAATTGACAATTTAAATTTTCGCGCGAAAACGAACCTATGTTTGCGATGACGTCACTCCTGTCTGTCACTGGTCGTACTTGTTCGTTGCTGGCTTTAAATTTTCATACTTTAGCATATTTTTTCGAATTTCAAAATATTTTTTTGAAAAATTTAAAATGGACTATCCATCAACATCATGTGATCATAACAATACCACTAATATTCCGAAAAAAAGCCGTATTGACTCATGTTTTGTGCCATCTACTTCAACAAAGTTCCCAAATTAATTGTTTTTGACAGGAACTTCTGACCTAAAACTGAAAAAAAAAAGTGGTTTCAAGCTGCGAAGAGAAATGACAATTATTCTCCAAAGACCATTATTCGATGCTGAGAAGATCACTTTGACGTAAGTCGGCGAATATACTTGTTATATGCTTAATTAATCTGCTTGTACGTAAAAACGCATTAGTAACCTACCTAATACTTACAAAACCTGTCTATAATATATTTTTAATTTTACAGTTGGAGAATGACGTCGAAAATTAGATAAAGTTTAAAATGTGTGGCACAATCTTCACTTTGGCAGGACTGAACCAATCTTTGCGTTTCATTTAAAATAACTGTAACACGATAACCTTCTTTACGTACTTTATGCTCCGGAGAACTCGACCTTTTACTGTACATAATTCTCCGTCCCTTTTAATTTGGACATAGCCGATTGCATTATCGCCGTAAGATTTGTAGAAGCCGCTGAATAAAATACGAAGTTTAACAACTACGATTTTTACATACCGTAGTAATTTAGTCCCTTTCATTTCTACACTTAAAAACTCTGCAAATTTGGACAAAAAAAGTTATAACCATGTCAACGCTAACTCTTGGTAAATTCCTGGAGTCTGCTTTGATAAACGCAACTTTCATTTTTATTAAATGTTAAAAAACGCAATAAACATTCCCATAAAATAATATTTACTTTAACAACCATAACCTCGAAGAAGTTGTCATAACAGGAGTGACGTCACTAAACGCTGATTGGTGTTTTAAAATACGTTCCGTTTCAAGTATTTTTAATTCGTAATAATTGTTAAAAAACAACATTATGTAAAATAAAAACGTTGCAGTGGCATTTCTTTTATATTTTTTTAACACTTTAATCATAAAATTTTCATAAATATTATATATGCATCTTCCCTATTAAGTACCTTCAATACATTGTGTATTTAATACAGATCAATTTGGCCCTTTAAATCATGAATGAATCATAAGAAGAATGTCATTGTGTATAATACAAGCCTGAGAACAAAAACTGTAGTCTACACTTCAGCTCTACACCGAAGCGAAGCGAGGGCGGGCCGCTAGTATTTAATAAAGCTTTAATAAATTAATTTTCGCCGTATTAAGAATATATATTAGTTACCTCTGCATTTATGTCTTCTCAGTGTACTCCGTTGGCTGTAAAACTTGCCGCATTGCGTACAAGTGTGGGTCTTCTCGCCCGTGTGGGTTCGCTCGTGCAATTGAAGGTTAAACTTCTTGGTGAACGGTTTGTTACAGATGCTGAAATAATTAATGAATGATGATAATGATACTTACCTATAGCACGTATGGAACGGTGTTAGAACCATACATTGTGGGTGTATTCAGTAATATATACCAGTACACTGGCCACTGCTAATGACATCATGGATCTACGCTATACTGTTGAATTGTGCCGAAATATATTGGCTAGTGCACTGACGTCATAAATCGACGAAATATTAAAAATAGTGCGAATAAAGAAGATTTTTTATTTACCTCATCAATTAAAAGGAATTCTTTTGGTTCGGATGCCATTATTGTTCTTTAATTAAAAAAGAAATAAAATTCGAATGCATCTCACGCACGCTCGGTCATACGTCATATTTGTTTTCCCGGTAAAAATATGGTAGCATACCAGTACAATATGGCGTCGGATTCGTGACGTCATTACCACTGTCCAGTATACTGATGTACATTTCGGAATACACCCTGTTTGAGAAGAGTGAATGGATGTGAACAGGGCCGGATTTAGAGGAGTGGCCCTGGGCCAACGAAAGCCTGGAGGGCCCTAACGATGGGCGTATTTATCGATTTTTACTTAGTAGTAGAAATAATGCAAACGCTAGTTTAGATCTCCAACGGAATAACATCATTGTTATCTATTTTAAGAATTTCGATGTTCAGCAGTACGAGACACTTTTGACTTTTCATCGAAATTATTCGTAAACGAACTTATTTAACACCCAACCAAACGGTACCAAACCAAAGGAAAACGAATTGTATCACGTCAAAGTGACACACGTATTAGACAACAGTCGGTCCTTCTTTCTCTATAGGCGTGCAAGAGAGATGAAAATATACGCCGTGAAGTTTGTGCTATCGAGATAACGATGGACAATATCGTTAAACGTTGCTCGAAAAAATTAACTTTTACTACCATTGACGTCTTAATGGTATGGTAGTTTGCTCGAGCTCACGAAAACTATCATTGTTTACATGTAAATCTCGTACTGAGAGTAAGATAGATACATTCAACATCACGAACGAAATCGTGGTCGAATACTGTGCCAAAGGTACATTGGATAATAAATAATAGCGTATAATATATTTGCTTACAATCATCATCAGCCTATTAATGCTCCACTGTTGGGTCACAGGCCTTCCCTATGGATGGAATAGGGAGGTTGGGCCATGACCCACCACGCGGGCCCAGTAGTAATAGAGGGCTTTGCTTACAATAATAAACGGCATTAAGAATGTTAAATATTCAAAGCACCTTTAATACATAGGATATAAGATTTAATTTAAAGAGTCGTGAATTAATTAAAAAAAACATACAAATTAGGCAATTGGTCTTAAGACATACCTGCAAGAGAACGGTTTTTCCCCAAAGTGCATTTTTTTATGCAATTTCAGCTGTTCCCGGTTCGACAATACTTTGCCACACAAGTCGCATAGAATGCTGGAGATAATACCGTGCTCCTAAAACATATTGAGACCGTTAATTTGGATAGCATTTTAACGTAAATTTGTAATTGTATTTATTATACAATTTTGTAAGACTAATAGGCTAGTTGACCCTTTTTGGAAAAAGGTTTTAAATGGTTAATAAATGTTCTATTAGTGCTAGGCCGGCGAAACCGCCGCGGTTTTATACCGCGTAGTTTTGTGAATCATGGAAACCAATGCAAGCGGCCGCACCAGCGGTTTTTTCCCGCGACTGATTTTAAAACCGTGATTTGTTACAGAATGGCTCGCGGGTAAAAACCGCGCCAAAATTTGTAGTCCATACAATATTTTCACAAAATTTGTGACGACGTTTTCTTTTTCTATTTCTTAGTATTAAAGCAACAATACATACAGCTCTCTTGAAATCCATCCTCAAACTGTGATAAATCGTGTCTAGTTTCGCGGTTTTTAATCGTAGTGTGTGTGCTTCGGGCGGTTCCGCGGTTTTGCGGTTTACCGCTTGCGGGAAAAAACCGTAGTGCGGCCTAGCACTTAGACCGAAAAAAAAATTTATTGTAATATTTTGAGACCTAGAAAGCTACAAATCTTTAATTTTAAAATAGACTTTTCATGGACATACAAAAACGCTGTTGGCCATTTTAGTCTATAGAATATCTATGCTATGACGTCAACAGGTAGTAAACAAAAACTCGTAAGCACGTAGAAAATAACCTATCTGAGTTTATAATAAAAAAATCATGATTCCTAATACATACCACGAAAAATATAGTAATTATCATTATTGTATTGTACGAGAATGTAAAAACACATCCTCGCCGACTCCATGAAAGTTGTGGATTAAAGTGCCGAAAGAAATTAACCTACGCAATACCTGGTTAGAACTTGCTAAAAGGGATCCTGCAACTTTATTAGTAAAATTTATTTTTGCTCATTGAATAATATTTTGAGACTCTTCATTTATTATCAGTTTTAATAATACAAGTTTTAAGGTTATGTATGTACTATATCAATAAGCAAAATAAATATTAAAATTGTTACGTTACATATCTTTCAGTTGGAAAACGACATGGAAAAAGATAACAAAGCTCTAATTGGTGTCTCTAACTAGAGTTCGATTGTTGAAACTGATATTTACACGTCATGCTCGTGAACGGGTGCTGCGTTCCATCGCGATCGCGTATTGACCTAACTTACCTTTAAGTGTGAAGTCAGTGCTTTCCTCGAGTCGCACGGCAGAGAGCAATGCACGCAAACGTAGCGCTTCAGACTTGACGACTGCGGGTGGACTGAACTGCGATGGGCTGTTAAATACCTTTAAATATACAAAGGTATCGATTCTGACATGATACTCTATACCGAAATGAAAATTTGACAAAAGTGTATCCTTGTCGTTCTTTAAACAGAATGAGAAAGAAGAAGAAATAAGATTGATCATACGCAAATACCGAATACAGCTATTATATCGCGGTGCACATGCTAAGCTGGCAGGTCTACTGTAAATTTAGGTGTTGATTCTGACATGATTCTCTATACCTAAATATAAATTTGACAAAAGTGTACCTAGCCTTGTCATTCTTTATACAGAACTAGCGGCCCGCCCTCGCTTCGCTTCGGGGTAGAGCTGAAGTGTAGACTACAATTTTTGTTCTCAGTCTTGTATTATACACAATGACATTCATCTATGATTCTTCTTATACCTGCATGCAAAGTCTCAGCCCGATCGGTTTAAAATTGACAAAGTTTCATACAAACTTTCATTCCCTATTTTATCCCCTTGGGGACAGAATTGATCAAAATCCTTTCTTAGCGGATGACCACGTCATAACATCTACCTGCATGCCAAATTTCAGCCCGATCCGTCCATTGGTTTGGGCTGTGCGTTGATAGATCACTATGTCAGTCAGTCACCTTTGAGTTTTATATACATATATAGAAAAAAAAGAAGAAGATACTGAAGTTAAATTTAGTTTTAAGTTTAGAAAATCATGCCAGAATCGACACCAAAATCTACAGTATACCTGCCCGCCTGGCATGAGCACCGCGATATGATAGCTGCATTCGGTTTTTTTTTATTTATTTATGTATTTGCGACTGATCAATATTTTTAGTCTGAATCGTTTGTTTATTACATCTAAAGTAAAGCTAAACACTTCGATAATTCCGCTATTTTGGTATGACTCTCTAAACCTAAACTTAAATTTGACAACAGTGCATCCCTGTCTTTCTCTATACGAAAAGAAAAGGACTGATGTTAAATTTAGAGAACCCTGCCAAAATCGACACCAATATCATGCCATTTATACTGAAGTTTTGAAAACAATAAAAAAAATGAGTGCTTATGACCACACGACTGAAGTGAAACTTCTGCTCCATCTGTATGTATATATATGTCTATGTGTTTGTACAATATATACATGTATGTACACTCGCGGCAAGACCCTCTCTGTCACCCATAATGCCATAATCGCTTGCGGTAGCGGCGTAGTAAAAATTCATTCATAGACATGTAATTATCGCTCTTACATTTTCGTATAGCGCTGTCGCGATCACGATGCGGATGACAAATTGCAACTAAAACAAATGCAATTATTGAATTGCATTTGTTTTAGTTGCAATTTCATTATTCAATCAATGAAATGCTCACTGTCTTACTTTTGTGCGGCGGCCCGGATTGTCGCGTCCGACGCGAAGGCGGGGCGTAGTAAAAACTACTGTAGAAAACCGTTCAAAGCATTTTGTTCACCAAGTGACAGAGCGCAAAATCCCGCGATAATACATATACATATTTCATTTACTAGCTATAAGAGAAAGAGAGAAAAAAAAAGTGCGCGCGCACTGCTTTCTCCGGCTTATATCCCCCACTCAACTCCCGTTCGCCTCGCCCGAACACACTTTTCGTAACGCGTAACGCATTCGTCAGCTTACCGCCCAAGTGAAGCGTGCGTTAAGAAGTTTTACTTCAAAAATTCACTCCCATAATTTTTTCGCAACACGTCAAAAGAATAAGTACCAAAATACCTATTAAACAAAATAAAATCAAAAACTATAACAATAAGTGTCGCCGCATACAGGCCACCGACCACAACCACAAAACGCCGCCACCGGCATATTTCTTGTAGTTTTCATACATTTTATATGGACTCGCCACACACGGTACGCCGGTGGCCGCCACACGCTACAAATCGTCGTTGCTCGCTTCTTGTGGCCCGCACCGGCCACTTAATGCGCCGATACAAAACGCCTCCACACTTCACTCGCGCGATTCCCCACCTCTCTCTCCCTTACCTTAGTCGGCCGCTGTCGCGCGCTTCAGCCACTTTAGTAGCCGCTTCTAGCTTCTCGTGGCGGCGTTTGTAGCTGTGGCGTGTGGCCCGTGTGCGGCGACACTAAGACCTTACACATTGTATGTGTATTGAAATATAACTTCAACTCACCTATTCATATGGAATGATACTCCACATATATCACAGACAAATGGCTTCAATCCTTTGTGGATGTTCTGATGCTGTTCGTACCAAGTCTTTACTTGGAAACCTTTGCCGCACTTCTCACATTTATACTGCAACAATATAACAAAAAAAAATGGTGATTTTGTCGTACTATTCGTAAGTAGAATTCTTTGCCCGCGCCCGTGTTCCCTCCTTCCTACAATCCGGCGTCCTTTAAGAGAGGCGTGAAGAAGCATTTTTGCAGGCCGGCAAGATGAAGATGGTTGATGTAGCAGTTTAACTGCTGTACGCGTTTGGACTTTATCACCACTTAACATCAGGTGGGGTAGAGTGATTTTGCCTACCTTGCTATAAAAAAAAGTACACACTTTATCAAGGAATAAGATTATACGACATTAACGACAAATGAGGAGTTCGATAGCGCAAGTAGTTCGCGCGTTCAGCGAAAGTCGAAGTTAAGCAATTTTCGAAATGGTCAGTCATCGGATGGGTGACCAAAAATTCACTATCTCGTACTTCCCAGTGTTTCGGAAGGCACGTTAAGCCGTTGGTCCCGGCTACATATGCAGTTGTTAGCAGCCACCAATTCGCGCCGGGCCTGCGTTGTGGGTCACAGCCCAATCTCCCTTTTCCATCTATCCTGTAACTCCAGTGGGTGATGTTGGATGTCAATGGTTTACGGTCCTTTTTACTGTGTACTACACTGCTAGGACACAGGTCCATATGGAAAGAAACACTATGGAGATCAGGAACATATAATAACATACAAAGAGTTACGAACGACACTCAATTATATTGTCTTTTTACAAATTTCTCCTTAGCTATAGTACCTACTTGAAAACAGCAGCGTTAAGGCTCTGTCCCACGACCTGTGTTGCCGCGGGCGAGGCCGCGCCGCGCAGGGTTTCCAAACGTATGAGAACTCTTCACGTTCGAGATTTAGCAGTGTCTATACATGATATGAGGTGATGATACGATGATACGCATGAGGATGCATTTAATAATGGCACAACGAACTATACTTGCAGAGAGGATCCCTTGTGGATTGAACATTTATTTTCTTTCTGATAGTATTTTTGGTTTGTGGACATAACAAAAACAGTCAACATTGTTAAAAACTCATATCAAAGTGTACGCGATTTCTAATTACCTCGTATCATGTATAGATACTGCTAAATCCCGAACTTTACAGTGCTCATACGTTTGGTAACACTGCGCGGCGCGGCCACGCCTGCGATAACAGGTCGTGGGACCCTTTAGTTACCCTCATGAAAGCAATTTGGATTACTTCTCATTACTTTTAAATAAATGAGAAAAACCGAAAAAGTTGCCAGAAATACGTTAAGTGATTGTCCCACTGTTAAATGTGTCTGCTCCAATGTCTACTTTGTTTAGTTTCAGCTTCATGCAAATGAATGAGTGGAAAGGACTTGGAAACATGAATAAAATCTATTAAGGTTGTTTTGTTCTTTTGTTATGGCATACGCGCTCGATGAGAATAGAGAAGAGAGAACTTTCGCAATGGTAGGTCATTGGATGGGTGACCAAAAATCTTCTGTCTTGAGCTCCTCCGTGCTTCGGAAGGCACGTTAAGCCGTTGGTCCCGGCTGCATCTGCAGTCTTTAGCACCCGCCAATCCGCAACTGGGCCCGCGTGGTAGGGCATGGCCCAAACTCCCTATTTCATCCACAGGGAAGGCCTGTGCCCCCGCAGTGGGGACATTAATAGGCTGATGATGATGATCTTATGGTATACAGTGACAGCACTTACTTCAACCAGCTGACCTCATATGATTTTAGATCCTGAATTAAAAGTAGTGACTTAGGACTACACTCTGATGATAATCAGTATATTATTAAGTTACATTAAAGTTGATGCTAGGCTGCCCGACGTGACGACATGATAAACACCGTAATAAAAAATTTAAATGATACTACACCGAAACCGAAATGGACGGAAAAAGGTTCTCAATATAATAATCTTACAGATTCAGTGAAAAAGGCGCCTTAGCGTGATGAGATGATAGAAATATAATAATAATAATAATGGTGACTGGATCAATGGCCTGATACAGAAGGCAGTGCTCCTTGACACGGCTCGCATAGTGAGGAGGTTCCTCTCTCTGGGGCCCTAACCACCGGTAGCTAGGACCCTGTTCCCGCTGCCTGCTTCTATTTTTTATATTTTTAAATGTTTTTATTTTTATATCAATATTTTAAAAATGTAATCAATATGGTATACAATAAATAAAGAGAATAATAATAGTAATAATAATAATTCATTTATTGTGGAGCATAGGTACAATAATGGGGTGTTATATCAGTACATACAGTTCAGCTATGTCCTGCCATAAGGCGTACAATTATTAATAATAACATTAGATGTCCCAATTTAAATCAATATTATTATAAATGTCAATTAAGTTTATTTCTATATCGTTTTATTCATGTCCAGTGGTACCCAGAATGTCATTGTTAAATTTCTTTGTCAGATAAAAATTCCTTAATTGTGTAGTAGCATTTGTCAACTAAGAAATTCTTTAACATATGCTTGAAACTGAGGACATTCTCATTACTTCTTATTACTTCTGTTAATACAAAAAAAAATAATCTTTACCTTTGAATTTTCCTTATTATGTCGCTTCTCGTGTTCCTTCAAAGCGCCGAGGTACACAGTGCTGTACCCACATTGTTGGGTACAAAAATATCTTGTACCATTATGAGCTCTTCCGTGTCGTATTATTTCTGAGACCGTTTTATATGTTCTGCCTAAAAAACAGGCCAAACAATAAATTCAGTACATTCACAACCAAATAAAATTTATACTGCTAATAATCTTCTTGGTATCGAGTCTATCTTTGTGGTTACTAGCACATAATGTTATTGTTGTTTGTATATATAGAATTCCTAAAATGACTAACCTAGATATTCTATGAAAAGATGTATAATTTGTTACAAAATCTATGTACCAATATGAGCAGGAAAATCATTTTGTGTGATGATTTTAATATTGATAGATTGAAATGCAATAAAATGTTGTATGAATTTGAAATTTTTTTACACAGTTTTGGTCTTACTTTGGAAATAAATCAAATAACTAGATTAATGAGCAAAACTTGTTTAGATAATTTTGGACCCAATGTGAAACGAGGCTGCAGGGGTGAGGTACTCAATTTACGATATCTGATGAAATTTGACATGCATGTAGTTTATATAGGCGGCAGCGGACGGGACTCGAACCCACATCCTTCGCTATCCGGGCGAATGCACTGACCATTATGCTACCACGGCCCTATTAGCCGCGTCGAAATTTTCCTAGCTTTAAGCTGCAAGACAGCGCCATCTCTTCGCATTGTAGGTAACCCACAATGTCAAATGAATACTTTTTCAAGTATTAAACATTTGAAAGAAGAAATATCAATTATAGTTATGATTTTATTTATTTTTTAAGCATCTAACTGCTAGATGTTTAAATCTAAAGAAAAGTTTACTAGAAAAAATCCACACAGACCAGGCAGCGGACGGAACTTGAACCCGCATATATACTTATAATATATAAATTTGATTTCTTTAATCCAATTCATTGCAGCACTTTTCTATGTTTACTTGGTAGCTAAAGAAACATCAGCATGCTATCTGCTTTTGCTCTTACACACAGAATAGACACATGCCTATGTTATTACTCAAGTACTTTCAGAAAGTGTATTGTCATGGGCTACCTGTCTTTTCAGTTTCTGACAAACTTAAACAAAGTTCAGTTCAGTTTGAGTAAACCAGACTTACGAAATTTTAATGCCACTTACCACACAGCTTACAAACAAATGGTCTCTCATTCACATGCGCTAGTAAATAATGACGACTAACTGACTTCTTATTACTATACTCTTTACTGCATACACTACATTTAAATAATAAAGAATATCCGTCTTGAGACAATATTAGGGTAAAATGATCCTCCGTGTTTTGGTCTTTTACTTTCTTGTGATGTTCTGTGTTATAATGATTAAGCAATACATTCTGCGAATTGAACATTTCAAAACAAGTGAGACATTTGAATTGTGTTATATTAACGGGAACTACATCAGGGTGCATTGTTTCAGCATTATACTTTTCTTCTTTTACATGTATGATATGTAATGAGGAATCTGAGTCGATATTTACCGCTCCATCGTGAGATACATCATCCACATCAATATATGTGATATCAGCACTTTCTGCACTATTTACTTCTGTTTCTAATTTGACTTTATCTTCAATACCATTGTTCACATTCGCTGTACTATCGGTACTGGTTAAATCTTTTTCTTTCTTTACCTTGATTTTACTCTCAATTTTCAGATATAATTTTTCTAATTCAGTTTTGCCTTCTTGAACATATTGAAGAAGTAGCTGTTCACTCTCAATAAGTTTTTGATGAAAATTATATATGTCATCAACTTTTTCTGAACAACTCTTGCAAATTTTTGTTGGTAATGGTTTATGGAGGGGTTCTATCTGAAATTTATACCTACTTAACATACTTACTTAACAATTTATAAAAGTCGTAATATTATCGTTTATATACATGCTGCTTATACTTTTAATTCAATATAACTTGAAGAGCTTAACATGTGGGGCATTTTATAAATCCATAATTAAAGAAAAACCCTTATTTAAAAATGTATCATCATATATAATGTGACAAATCACATCACATATTATGTATGATAAAACTGATCAAGTACATACTTGGATAAATAAGTACTGATTTTAACTATGCAATTATTATCAAAGGAAGATTATTTTTAGTTTGTTTAAGTTTTTCTTAAACAGATCTTTCAAACGTTAGCTAGTATTTTTAGTAAGTATTTTATTGAAAAATAAAAAAAAGAGATTTTAAGAGATTTGCAAAATCCAGCTGCAATCCTGAGAAGAGTCCAAAAATCCTGAAATCTCAGGACAAATTCTGAGATATGGTAACCCTATATGTAAGTGTAATACAGACTCATGAAGAATATTTGATTGAAAAAAATACAGTTACTCAAGTTTGGTCTCTTCCTGTCAATGCAATTTTAAGGCTCACTCACCTTCACATTCAAGGTTAATAGTATTTTACAACGAATTTGATCTCCCTCTGTCAAGTCTTGCATGTCCTGATTAACTTCATTGAAACAGAAACGACACAGCTTATTCATATCGACAATAACATTCATGGCTCTAAAGAATTATTTTGAACACTATTAGTATGAACAAAGCTTTTGTGTAAAAAATTCGGCACCAACCACTTATTGGCAATTCAGTCTTATTTTGTGACACCTTTATTTTACGTAAACTATCGTAAATTTCAATCAATAAAAGAATAAAAACAACAAATCAAGCATAGACAGGATGCACTTTTGTGTACAAACAAAACAGCTGTCACGAATCACGATACGGCACATCTTTTTTATTGATTCTCCCTTTTTAGGGAACGCAAAGGGAACAATGCCCATACCACCTTGTCTAAGATATTTATCTTCTTTTTTTCACATTAGAATGTCGGTGTGACGCATTCTAATGTTTCTTGGAGTGTTCAGCATGAAACATATCGAGTTGGCTTTTTCGATTAGTTTCTGTGAAGTAGCCAACACTACAATAAAGTCCTCACGTCCACTTGACCGGAATAGCGTATATTTTAAAAATTCCACTAATGCTTCGGGTGTCAAGCCAGTGCTAGCTGATAGCGGAGTACCATACCTATCAATTTAACCCCCATGCATGTTCTACGATTTTTCGGAGTTTTAGAGTTAGATTTGTTTTCGTTATTTTTTAATGTCAACGATGAGACAACTTTGAAAAAAGTATAACTACTTTTTGGGTCGAAATTTCTTCGATATTTTATTTTAGCAGAATGCCTATTGCTTGTAGTTTTATAAAGTTTTTTTTCATTGAACTCAATCAGGCTTTGGACCACATTTCTGAATAGGGTACCAAGAATTTGGTTAAGTTCAATGCTAAGAAAGCTCAGGTCTGCACTTTCACGGCAAAACATCGTCATTCCTTTCATATCCATCTCTTCAGGGCATAACACTGGAGCTAGAGAGCAGTATCACCATGCTCGGTATGAAGATTCGCTGTGACTTAAATCCAAAGAATTACATCGAAGGAGTGATAAAAACGGCCTCACGCAAACGCGAAATCCTGAACAAGGTGCGGCGTTTTTTCACGCCCGATCAACTGTGCTTGTTGTATAAGACGCAGGTGCAGTCTTGCGTGGAATATTGCTCGCACCTCTAGGATGGCTCCGCCAAATACTTGCTCGATACTTTGGATAGGTTACAGCAGCGCGCGATCCGCATCATAGGCGATGAGGAGGTGACTAAACACCTCGAGCCTCTTCAATTACGCCGTGACGTGGCGTCACTAAGCGCGTTCTATCGCCTGTACCACGGTGAGTGTTCTGAGGAGTTATTCTCTCTTATTCAACCTTCCCCGTTCCTTCAGAGGACCACGTGCGCTGGCCTACGTTGTCACCGTCTAACTGTGGCCACAATTCCAACGCGTACAAAGAAATTCGGTGACTCATTTCTTTGCCGCACTATCCGTACATGGAATGTTCTGCCCGTTCACGTGTTCCCTCCCTCCTATAAACTGGGATCCTTTAAAAGTAGTGTTGCAAGACGAGACTTAGCCAGTCTTGGTCTTGGTCTTGCGCCAATACACCTGGTCTTGGTCTTGGTCTTGCGCTCCCAGTCTTGGTCTTGGTCTTGCAGCAAGAGTCTTGCAAGTCTTGCAATTACCTATTAAACTATTGCTATTTATTAAAGTTTACTTTATATCTTAGAAAATCGTATTAGAATTAGAACATTGTGAGCTTGAATTAACATAGCCATAGTAAAGACTAATCAGATTAATAAATGTCTGAAGATTATATAAGAAATTCGAAAAATCAACTGCCACATGGTTATCAACTGAGCTATATGCCGCTTTCCATGGAAGTAACTGTGTCTTCATAAACATTTACACTTTATAAGCTTACATGTGCTAAAACATGTAAAAAACAAATTAATTACAATAAGTTGACTGTATTTTAAAGAACAATATTAAATAGCACCTAAGTAATTAGTTTAAACCCATATAATCAATATTATAATATAATTATACTTACTAGAATAAATTATTATGACATCTACTACCTATCCTTACCTATATCTAATCATAATACTACTTGCGTGATCAGTATAATGTATTCGTTTCCATTCTAAGCACCCTGAAACTTATTTATTCTTTGGAACACCTGTATTCTTGTGTCGTGCCGTCTCGCTCGCTCATATATTAAATAGGATTAGCGTGAGTGGGACGGCACGACACGAAATTAAAAGTTTGCATGAGTATACCTAGGCCCTGTGGCGGCAATTAAATAGTGTTAAATGTTGTGACTTCGGCGCGGCGGCAACGATTGTTGTATGTGATTTCAATAGAAGCCGCCGTCGCGGCGGCGCGTGTTTCATCACCATGTACTTCCGAAAAGCGGCAAATTTCTTTGAGAAGTCAGTACAAAACCTTTGATGCCGCATTATCAAAGTGCCGATGGTTAAAACAAAACTATGCATGCTTTCTGTTTGATTTTAATGGATATTTTTTTATTCGCTATGTATGTTTATGGTATTGGTCGTAAATAATGCGCATAGGTCCAGTTTTTCATATTCTTTGATACAGTTTTTTCCGTCTCATAGAATTCCTAAGTGTACCTATACACCGAAATGTTTATTTATTTTATTATTTTATTTAATTCAGGTAACAAACAGTCTTATACAAACAATTTCACAATTTATGTTTACAAATAGACCTAAAGTTCCATTAATTGATAAAAATGTTAAACCTAACTACTCCGTTCCTAACTTTAACCTAAGATATAAAAATTTTGATCGATACTAAATTAAAAATGTATTAAGTAAAACAGAATGGATTTTCAATAAAATAAAAAAAATAGATGTTCCATAGCTTCTGACTAATTTTAAAAACTGCCCAACTGTGCTTCGCTTGAGCGAAGGGTGCGGGTTCGAGTCCAGTCTGCTGCCTGGTCCGAGTGGAATTTTTTCAAGTTATATTTTCTTTAGATAAAAAGTTGTGTTTAAAAAAATAACATTAATAAAACTAAAGAAAAGTTTACTAGAAAAAAATCCACGCGGACCAGGCAGCGGACGGGACTCGAACCCGCACCCTTCGCTATCCGGGCGAATGCTCTGACCATTATGCTACCACGGCATAAACTTTTCTTTAGATTTAGACATCTAGCAGTTAAATGCTTAAAAATAAATAAAAAACATAATTAATAAAACTATTAATATTAATAAAATCCATTCTGTTTTACTTAATTCATTTTTATTTAGTATCGATCAAATGTTTTATATCTTAGATTAAAGTTAGGAAGAGATTATTTAACTTAAAAAACTACAATAATAGGCATTCTGTTCAACAAAATATATCGAAGAAAAATCGATCCAAAAAGAAGTTATACTCTTACAAAGTTGTCACATCCTTGAACTTAAAAAAAGAACGAAAAAAAATTCTAACTCGAAAACTACGAAAAATCGTGGAACATACATAGGGGTTAAATTGATAGGTATGGTACTCCGCTATCAGCTCGCACTGGCTTGACACCCTAAAAAAACAACCTGTATATATCTATCTATGTATATAAAACTCAAAGGTGACTGACTGACAAAGTGATCTATCAACGCACAGCCCAAACCACTGGACGGATCGGGCTGAAATTTGGCATGCAGGTAGATGTTATGACGTAGGCATCCGCTAAGAAAAGGATTTCGATCATTTGTACCCCCAAGGGGATAAAATAGGTAATGAAAGTTTGTATGAAACTTTGTCAATTTTAAACCGATCGGGCTGAGACTTTGCATGCAGGTATAAAAAGAATCATAGATGAATGTCATTGTGTATAATACAAGCCTGAGAACAAAAACTGTAGTCTACACTTCAGCTCTACACCGAAGTGCAGCGAGGGCGGGCCGCTAGTATATATATATATATATATATTAATTTCTAGCAAAAAACGATATTTTGAGAAATAAACAGGTAGGTAATTAATGACCCACAAATGAAATTCATGATGGAATCTTAAAAATCTGCTGTGACTTAAAAAAATATGTTAAAGTGTGGTAAACGAGCGTATGGCCCATCTGCCGCCCTCAATGAACGCAACCATAACCTATCGACGCTTGCGATACCAAAAATATCACTCGCCCCGTTGCCTCATCATCATCATCAACCTTAATGTCCCTACTGCTGGGCCACGGGCCTTTCCTATGGATGATATTTCCTATTGTTACATATTTGACATTATGTGATGGAAGTCGACCTCAACACATGTTTGCAAGTTTGATGTCAACTTTCAATTGGACGACACTGTATGAAATAAAACAGGGAGAAAAAAGCAGCCCTTGCTGAGTTTCTTGCCGGTTCTTCTCAGTACAAGGTCTCCCGCCGTAGATTTGCGAACCGATGGCGTAGCTTTTCGACATTCACAAGTGCTTGTAACAGCCTAGACTGAATAAACGATATTGAATTTTTTGAATATTGATGGAATAGGTATATTGGGCTATGACCCACGCAGTGCGTATTGGTGGTTCACCCACCCTATTGTTGCCCACCCTGACCGAATCCCCTACCTCGTAGAGCCCTCGAACCATACTCACTATCCTTAGATAATAGATAAAAAATAGAGTCACTGCCATTCATTGATTACGTTATCCACGTTATTCATCAACATTGACGTACGCACCTTATCTTAAAAACAGTTTTGTATTGTGAATACTTACAAAAGGAATAGTAAACCTAGAGATAAGTTGGTATTTAGAGATGATTATGCTTCCAGTAATCTGTTTGTTAAAAATACAAAATGCGGTTGATAGTATTCAATGTAATATCGCAAGCATCCTCTGATAGCCGTGCTGCTGCATCCCGTTTCGTCAAAGATAAATAAATTAGCTACAGAAGGGACATACGTATCTTGCTAGCGATTTTTATGATACAGCAACCAAAGGGTAAAAGTGGAACCCTATTGTTTGTCACTCTGTCGTGTGTCTGTTTGTCCGTATGTCACGGATATCTAGATAAATTGTAGTGGGAGCGAACAAAAATACTCAGAAGGCGCAAGCTGATATATCGACTGAAAGCGTACATTGTTTTCTAAACGGAATGAGTTACAGAACCAAAATACTTATGTAGAATGTAGAATAAATGCACTGACCATTATGCTATAATTGCTATTTCTTCTTTCAAATGTTTAATACTTGAAAAAGAATTCATTTGACATTGTGGGTTGCCTACAATGCGAAGAGATGGCGCTGCCTTGCAGCTTAAAGCTAGGAAAATTTCGACGCGGCTAATAGGGCCGTGGTAGCATAATGGTCAGTGCATTCGCCCGGATAGCGAAGGATGCGGGTTCGAGTCCCGTCCGCTGCCTGGTCCGCGTGGATTTTTTTCTAGTAAACTTTTCTTTAGAATAAATATTTTGTCATAAATGAAAAGGGGACGACATAATTCTGTGAACAGGCGCTTTTTTGCTGATTTGTTGTTATGGAATTCTACGTCAGGTCGCGTTTTAGATATATGGATTTTTCACAGACTTCATCTTTATTATAATTAATTTCTTGTTTAAAAAATATATTAAAAAATATTGATGGAGTTACCATTCAAAAGTAGTGGTAGAATTTACATGAAAAAAAAACCTTATTTGATTATATGCATATTCCATTCTTATTCGTTTTAGATAAGGTAGGTAATTAATTAATCCGGAATTTATTAATTTATAGATATATATCTAAATTTTCTCAATATCTACTCTTTAGTTTATTTCTGCTCTTTTATCATAAACATGTTGTTACTAGCATAAAAAAAAATGGGTGCGTGTACTTATGTAGGCGCGTGAGAAGTTATCCTTCTTTGGCATCGTTTAAAATTAGTTTTTAATTGCATGCAAAAAATTAATTACAATAAATTAATAAAAAGTCTGGAAAAGGACACAGTCAATAAAGTTCAGTTTTAATTTGAAAAAATAAATAAATAATCAAAATATTCAATTAAAATCGCTACTGAATATAATTTATTAGAACATATGTGATTTGCACTTGTATGAAACTCAAACACGTATTCCGAATATACAAACTAGAAACATGTGGATAAATATTATAAATATGAATACCTATAACTGTTACTTTATTACAAAAAATAAAGATGTGGTTTTTGGTTCTACTACACCAATGGTCAAGAGATGGCGCTGTAGTCTCCTGAATCGCGCTTTGGTTCCGTTGTTTCAGATTAATAAATACTTTTGATAGGCCTTCACAATGCAGTCGTTAGCACCCACAAAATAGAGATTCTATTTCTATTTTGTTGGTAGATTTTCTTAATGTGCGTTATTTTTTCATAACGCGCCTAAAGAAGTATAACTTCAAAAATTGTATAGCTCTGCCATAGGGAGAAGCATGTCCAAGAAAGTGATCAATTTAAATTTAATAAAAAAAAAACAAAAAGGTTAGGTTCCTACCAAAATTAATAATGATTTCACATAACAAGCACAGCAGGTCGCAATCAATCGGTTCTGATGATAAAGGGCAAAGTGCCCTTATCACAAACAAATGACCACTGTCGCTTCTGGTTGAATCTTTAATCTTTGTCATGGAACAAGTTAAAAGTTACATTGCCAAACGGTCTCTTACCAGTGTCCAAAGCAAACTATACTCATGTGTTGACTTAATTTTATATTAAATATACTTTTTCTATTATTAAGTTATTGAGTTTTAAATAGATTATTACAGTGAAAATGTTGTTAAAGTGCATTGTTTTGTTGTCGTTAATAAGTACTGTGTACGCTGGTAAGTACGTAAGCCATACCTACATATAAATTATTTGCATTTCCGGACTTCGACAAAAAAATTTTCGCGGAAACCAAAATTCTGCCCAGCAAAACTTCTAAAGATTCAAATGTCCACAGACACCTACCGTATGTGTGTAACAAGCAAAGGAATGTTAATGAAAGTTTTAATCGTCATTTGAACTATTATTTTTACTATAACATAAAACTTTACATAGAAAAGAACAATTAATGAATAATTTACCCAAAACATTAGGGTTAGCTGCACTGATTTCAGAACAGGCCTCTATTAAATCCTGCAGTAGCTCTTTGCGAGTAATACAAACGAAATCTACTATAAGAAAGTAGAGCATAGCGGCTTAGCCGCTCAAAGTCGAGCGCCCGCCTTGGGAAGTATAACCATCATACGCAAGACCAAATAAATAATAAAAAAAAATCCAACACTCACACCAATTAGCCTAGCCCCAAAGAAAGCACTGTAAGCTTGTGATATGGGATACTAGGATAACGGATAGAAATATATATCAAACATCCATATCTGGAGTACAAATGCTCGTATTCATCACACAAACATCTGCCCCCACCGGGATTCAAATCCGGGACCTCTCGAGTAGTCGACATACACCTTGAAACCCGGCGTACAAACCACTCGGCCACGGATAAAAAACCAAAGTAAAATAATACTGCCTCTTGGCTATATGGTTATGTTTCTAAAGGTGATTATGGCTACAAGGCTCCATGGGCTTCTTAGGCTATAGCAAATGGCTACTATCAGGCTAGCAATATGCTCGTGTGCTACCATTTTCATATAAAAAACGAGTGTACTTATGACCACATGACTGAAGTGAAACTTCTTTAGCTCCATCTGTATGTATATATACATATACATATATTAACATGTATGTACATATACATATTTCATTTACTAGCTATAAGAGACACAGAGAAAGAATATATCACACTCGGTTATCATCATCATCGGCCTATTAATGGGCCCACTTCAGCGGCAGTTATAGATGAAATAGGGCGATTGGGCCATGATCCACCAGGCATGCCCAGTGCGGGATGTGGATTTGTGATCGTTAGCACGACTGCAGATGCAGCCGGGACCGCGGGTTAACGTGCCTTCCGAAGCACGGAGGAACCCGAGATAATAATACCCGCCATACACACTACGAGAAATCGTTACGATCAGACTGTACAGTTCGAACGGTACAGTTTATACGATTTCGTTTAGTATAGGAAACTGTGCAGTTTTATAAAATACACGCTACGATTTATCGGTACCGTTCGGACTGTACAGTCTAATCGTAACGATTTATCGTAGTGTGTATGGCGGGTATAAGGCTTTAGTCACCCATCCAATGTTCGACCATTGCGAAAGTTTATTAACTTCAACGATCGCAGCTGAACGCGCTAACCACTTGCGCCGTCGACATATCAATCAGTCATCAATACCACCTAATCCACCGCGTGTACTATACTTGAATAGCAATTATCGTTTATCAGCAGGACGCCCGCGTCCAGACTTCCGTCGTCGGGAACAGCACGAGCGCGTGGGATGTTGTTTTTTCGTTCTAAACATGCCCGATCACAACCACAATAAATTTCATTCGCGACCGCCGGCATAGTTATCATCGTCCTTTGGCTAATGTTATTTATCTATTGACATGGATAACTCCATCATAATTCCATTTCCTTTCCGTTGATTTCGCACGGGATTTCAATTGTTATTTTATTTAAGTTATTAGCAAATCAGCAAATTCTAAATCATGTTAAATTTGAGTAGCCTCATGTCCTGCCGCAAGTGAATCACTATCTTTATCAGTTAGTGCATTCAACGTCCGGATAGCGTGTGCTTTTTTAGTTTCCTTCCAGACGTGACAGCGGGTAAAATCTTTATTGATACACTAAACCTGGCTGTAGGGTTATGTCTGACTTGCTGACTAAGCAGCTTCTTTCCATAAGGGCTTCTAAGATCACAATGTAGCTTTGGAATGTAGCATACGGTGAAGTAAACACTCGCCGTGGTCTGTAGACGTCTTCAACACTAGGAGTATGACACGCAAGATGCCAACCAACATCTTATCTGTAAAGTTACTAAAGTGGCGTATTAGCGATTATGCTTTTCCACTTTTCCACTGTCGATATGAAGGTCAGACTTTTCTTTCGTTTCAGCTATTTGCGGCGGGCAATCGTTTGGACCAATTTATAACAAACTAGCGACCCGCCCCGGCTTTGCACGGGTGCAATGCTGATACTAAATATAATACAGATTGTCTTTATATACAACGTTCACAGCCTTTTTCGTATAAGACAATACAAACATGTTTCCTTTAGAGGTTACTCTTGAAAGAGCGACATATAATTGGTCATATGAATAACACTCGACGCTCAACATATATTTTTTAATTTATCGTAACGTACTTAAAAGTACGGATTACGTTATCATGTTAAAAAGCTCGTTTTTATTAATAGTCCAGTCATTAAGTTGAAAAACGTGAAAAATAGAGATAAAGCAATAATAATATTTTTTTTTGTATTGTATTGTATAAAGCTCCTAAAAATATGAGCTCATTGGATTCCGTTTTTGTTATATATATTTTTTTAGAGTATTTTGATATATATAGTTAATAACAATTGGATTTTTTTACGTGCAGTAAAATCCTCAAAACACCTTTTTCTAGAGGTCATTCCGAATCCAATGAGCTATTGCTCATATTTTTAGGAGCATTATATCTATTTTTCACGTTTTTCAACTTGTTGACTGGACTATAAGTAATAATTGTTATTTTCCTCGCTAAAGAGCTCCGATAAACGCGTGCGATCGCTGCTTATCATAAGCGGCCCGTACACAGTTAATCTCGATCGTGATCGTTAAGCTCAGTCTCGGATCACTGGATCGCGTCACAACATTACACGGTCAATCCTGATTTCTTCAATCCATGTATCGTAACTGCCGCGTTAACACGTGTTGCCATGGATTTAAATAAAGTCAAAACTATAGTGTCCCTTGTTTTGGCCTTTACTTTGAGAAAAGAATATTCAAAAGCAATTTGATAATATTGTCTGTCCCTACGAGAGCAAAGTTCATCATCATCATCATCAGCCTATTAATGTCCCCAATGCTGGGGCACAGGCCTTCCCTATGGATGGAATAGGGAGTTTGGGCCAGGACCCACCACGCGGGCCCAGTGCGGATTGGTGGGTGCTAACGACTGCAGATGCAGCCGGGACCAACGACTTAACGTGCCTTCCGAAGCACGGAGGAGCTCGAGATAGTAATTTTTGGTCACCCATCCAATGACCGACCACTGCAAAAGTTGCTTAATTTCAACGATCGCAGCCGAACGCGCTAACCACTTGCGCCATCGAGCTTCTCGAGCAAAGTTAAATACGCTAAACTCACAATATAATTAGTGAGTAATGCGATTCATTAATTGTAGTATAATAAATTTATTAATTTACCTGGATTATATTTTATTATTTTATTTTGTGTAAGATTTATATAAATTGTAATTGTCGTGACTGGTAAAAAAATGACATTTTAAATATTACTTTACATTGGATTGGCTAAGCTTTGAATGACAACTAAATAATTTTACATTAATATATTTATTATTATAACAACAAAAAATACAGCCAACAAGTCTTTCACCCTGGCATATTCATACGCACCAGGTCTTCTTCACTAAGTAGCGTTCTCCCTACATCTTTTGATAAAGACACTACTACGGTGAAAGCACCTAAAGAACCTACTCCAATAACGCAACAAGACAGCATTTGCCCCCCATCATGGCAAAGAGTACCCACGAGCAGATGCTCTAAAAGAAAGAAAATGTCTGACAGCCCATCCCCAGAAGCTGTTAGAACTTCAAACTCCTTTAGCGGATTACAGATTGAACCACTAGATGACAATGCTCAAGAAAAAGTAGAAAAACCCATTAAGCCACCGTCAATTATTCTCTATGGAGTAGAGGATGTGAATAAACTCACCGAACTGATAGAAACGGTTACAGAGAAAGATAAGTTTACATACAAAATCATCATCAGAAACCAATTAAGGACTACTATGGAAGTATACAAGATGGTGATTAAGATACTTAGAGAAAAAGGACTAATCGGACATACCTTTAACAGAAAAGATGAAAGATGCTTCAGAATTGTTATACGGAACCTACATCCCTCTACCCCAATTTATATAATTAAAGAAGAATTGGAAGCAACAGGCAATATGGTTAAAGGAGAAATTATAAATGCCAAATTCGGTCCAGAAAGAAAAGCTACTTCTACGTTCTTTGCAAATCTTGCTCCTGGTCCGAATAACAAAGCAGTCAAGGAGTTAAAGTTTATTTATCACCAACCTGTGGTTATAGAGGATCCTAAGAGAAGGAAATCTATAATACAATGTCACAGGTGTCAACAATACGGTCACTCTAAAAACTATCGTATGCGTCCTTACCGATGCGTCAAATGTGGACAATCTCACAAAACCTTGGAATGCACTAAAAAGACCGAAATACCCCTGCACTGTGTGCTCTCTGTAATGGTCCACATCCCGCTAACTACAAGGGATGCGAAGTGTATACGGAAATTTTGGCTAGGAGAAATAAAATTGCACCAAAAGAGACACCCAATCACACCCAAACAGGACATACAAATCGAGCGCGATCATTGAAAACAAGTAAACATGACGTGAAAAACAAAACATACGCAGAAGTTTTAGGTACAAACAACATACAACACCTAGAACAAAATTTGCAACATCATGAAACTCATAGATCTCAGAATACTGCTGAATTCTCAAATACGCAGTCATATCCACTTATACAACACTTGCTCCAGAAGCAAACAGAGAAGTTTGAACTTGTATTACAACAAATGGGTTCACTATTAGTGCTCCTAACAAAACTAGTTGAAAAGATATCAAAATGACTTCGTTAAGACTAGCCACATGGAACATAAATGGTCTCGTTCCTAATAAGAATGAGGCGGAACTAC